CGTTATTGGCCTAAATCATACTGTAAAATGGCCAGCAAGGTCTCCTGATATTTCGCCAAATGATTTCTTTCTCTGGGGCCATTTAAACAGGATATACAAGGATAAAAAATACCCAAATATAGACGAGTTAAAAAATGCTATTTCTGCCGAATGCAATAGAATTTCAATTTACCAACTAGCGAATGTAAGAAGAGAATTTTATGATCGCCTGGGTTATTGTCTAGCAGTCGATGGAGGAATATTTGAACATCTTCTTAAATCCTAAAGTTCTAACACATTAATAGTACCTAAATTAATTAATTAAGTTATTGATATTGTAATAATACTCTAATTAACCTTGTAATTGATTACTTTATTTTACTTTAATTCATATTAATTTGTATTTATAAATACATCTTTAAGATTTCCGATGTAGGAATGAGTTTTCAATAATAATAAAGCATTAAATAGGTAAATTTCTGAAATGACAACTTCATTTGACAGTTATCTTTTACCTTGACTGGTGCTCATAAGTAAATATAGAGCCATAAGAAAGGAGAAATATTTACATGGGATTTCCTATGTGCCGTCCGACGATGCAACACCCGGTATGTAAGAAACAAAAGTTACATAGTAGCGAAGTGTGCCATCACCCTGAGGATGAGTGCCACCCCTTCTCGGGGGTGAAAAATAAATCGATCATTTAAATTGCAAAAATCAATAAAGGGATGAATTCTAAGCAAAAACGGTTCTATAACATTTTTTTAGAAAATTAATATTTTCCGAGTTATTTAGGATTGAAAATGTTGATTTTTCATCTAAAAACTGCATATTTTTCTGCCATTTTTTATAAATAACTCGAAAATCTTGCGTTTTATCGCAAAACTCATATAAAATAAAAAAAGGAAAATAAAAAGATGAAGCTATTGGAATAATGTATCGATTCACTGGTGTAATAATAGCCGCGTTATCACTCTGTAAAGGTGATTTTTGTTTTTTGAAAACTAAATTGAGAGGTAACCGTAAAATAATGGCGAAAGAAAACATTTTTCGAAAAAAAAATTAATATAACCGTTTTAAAAGTGCTTGAAAAGATCTTTTAAATGCTTTTAAAAACGGTTATTGCTGTAAAAATACAGCGCACTGCTGCGATTTCTTACAAGAATTTTCGTGCACGTGTTACAACAGGAAATAAAACAATCGTAGTTTTTATGGTTTGCCGGAATTTCAACCCTTCTGCTTTCTGCTTAGTTTTAATTGTCCACTTCCTTCCTCAATCGATGTAAATTTAGAAGACACATCGAGACATATGTTTCTGCACCTAAAGTAAACCGTTTTTGATTTTTTTGAGTATATTTTTCCTCAATTTCTAAAAAATGTTCAAGCTTTCGATAATAAACTTAAACAGGAATAAACTTTAACAGGAAGGAACAATCCTTGATTTATTGATTTATTTATTTATTGATTTATTGATTTATCGATTTATCGACTTATCGATTTATCGATTTACGGATTTATTGATTTATCGATTTATCGATTTACGGATTTATTGATTTATTGATTTATCGATTTATCGATTTATCGATTTATCGATTTACGGATTTATTGATTTATCGATTTATCGATTTATTGATTTATTGATTTATTGATTTATTGATTTATTGATTTATCGATTTATCGATTTACGGATTTATTGATTTATCGATTTATTAATTTATTGATTTATCGATTTATCGATTTACGGATTTATCGATTTATCGATTTACGGATTTATTGATTTATCGATTTATTGATTTATTGATTTATTAATTTATTGATTTATTGATTTATTGATTTATTGATTTATCGATTTATCGATTTATTAATTTATGGATTTATCGATTTACGGGTTTATTGATTTATTGATTTATCGATTTATGGATTTATCGATTTATTGATTTATTGATTTATCGATTTATCGATTTACGGGTTTATTGATTTATCGATTTATGGATTTATCGATTTATTGATTTATCGATTTATCTATTTATCGATTTACGGATTTATCGATTTATGGATTTATCGATTTACGGATTAATCGATTTATCGATTTATTGATTTATTGATTTATTGATTTATTAATTTACGGATTTACTGATTTATCGATTTACGGATTTATTGATTTATCGATTTATTGATTTATCGATTTATTGATCTGTTGATTTATTGATTTGTTGATTTATTGATTTATTGATTTACGGATTTATTGATTTATGGATTTATCGATTTACGGATTTATTGATTTATGGATTTATCGATTTACGGGTTTATTGATTTATTGATTTATCGATTTACGGGTTTATTGATTTATTGATTTATCGATTTACGGATTTATTGATTTATGGATTTATCGATTTACGGATTTATTGATTTATCGATTTATTGATTTATTGATTTATTGATTTATTGACTTATTGACTTATTGATTTATCGATTTATCGATTTATTGATTTACGGATTTATCGATTTATCGATTTACGGATTTATTGATTTATTAATTTATTAATTTATTGATTTATCGATTTATCGATTTATCGATTTATCGATTTACGGATTTATTGATTTATCGATTTATTGATTGATTTGTTGATTTATGGATTTATCGATTTATTGTTTTATTGTTTTATTGATTTATTGATTGATTTATTGATTTATTGATTTATTGATTTAATATATACTTACGTGGATAAGTAAATCACTATGGAAACTGTCGCAAACATATCAACAACTTCCATTTATCTTCTTTTTTTGTTGCACACGCGGTGCTTCTACTCTATCTATCCTTATCGATCGAGGACCACGCGCCAAATTTGAACATTCATTTTAAAAATTTAATTTGTAAAATGCATATATATGAACAATAAATTGAATGTTTACTGTCACAAATATTAAATTATCTAAAAAATACATTTAGCCACTCCATACGAATATCAATATTCTTAAGAAATGTAACCAGAAAGTATGCATGTGGTTTAATATAAATAAAAGAACAACTGAATAACTTGACTTGTCTATGAAAAGATAATTCGGGGACCTTTATAGAACTTCCACACACCAAACAGTTTCTAGTCATTTTTACGAGTATTTAGAAAGTCCAACGAAAAAAATAGAAATATAATTGCACAAACTTAAAATTAACGTGCGTTCTTGGCTATATAAAAGCGGTCGATAAAAGAGTAATTAATACAATTTTTAAAATAAAAAACGCAAATAACAAGCGTCGTTACACAATGGAAATAAGATTATGACATATGATTATGACAAGATTATGACAATATGATGACAATGAAAAGTTGGTTTCCATAACAATATATAATTTTTACTTTCTAATCATATAAAATTGTGATTATTTTGGAAATACGTGCAAGACAAAGACATATTTTTTAATGCTAAACTTATGGCGTTGATTTGAGGAACAACATATTAATGCAAAAAATCGTTAGTTAATTTTTTAAAAACCTTGGAATACTTTTAAAAAATTCTTCGCTATTGTAAAAAATGCACCGGTATCTTAATGAAGTACGAACTCGAAGCATACTGTACACAAAACCAGACCAGAGAACATCCATTTGCCATGCTATTTTAAAGTCAATAAAGGAAGCTCTTGTTCTCATCAGTTCCTCTTGAAATTCCGACATCTAACTTCGTTTACCAGATATATACCGAATGTGTACGCAACTAAAATTAGCTTAATGCACGAGGAAATATATCTGTTAAAATAAGTATACAGAGTGATCAAGCTTGAAAGTAGATTAATTAAAAAATAAATTAACTTATTAGAATTATAATAACACATAAATTTTTTATTACAGTAGTTTTATACAGGTACGGACGAAAAGTTATTATCCTACAAACCAGTTAAAAACTTTGAATAAGAAGACTAAGGAAGGAGCATATCAAAAATCTTAGGTACACCGCGATGGGCCTCAAATATGGCCGACTTAAATTCCGGTTTCTCAGTGTCGTTCTAATTTTATTTAAAAAATGTAAAACTATGATGTAGGGTAGACTCAATAATTTGTTGTTTTATTTTACGTTGTGAATAAATGTTGGTAGTTATTAAAATTGTTATAAAAATATATAATTCTAATAAAAATAGATAAGTTATAATAAGTATTTATTAAGACAAACATCCGATACGCTACTGAAGCAGGTAAGTCAAATTAACGTATCTAAATTCTTTGACATCTAATCTTTGACAGGTAATAAATAAAAGCTAAAATGCAAGAAAAATATAAAATTTAGTTAATTTAAGTGAATTTCATAAATGATCGGTTTACTACACGTATGTATATTATATAGTCACTTACTAGCGAAAAGTTGTTCCATTATTTCACTCAATTTTTGCCGAGATCTACCGCACGCTACACAACCAACTATTTTAGAGTCTTTTTCGATAAATCGCGATAGTGTCACTGTTAATTTAAGTGCTGCCACAATTTCCATCTAGATTTACTACCTTTATACAACTATCAGTAGTAGAATAAATAATAAACAACATAAAATAAGCTCCGTAAAGACTGACAAATCCACAAAATTTCAAATCAAATTCAAATGTGTCAAATGAATCGTCAAACAGAACTGTCAATGATCCCCACCCTAGAGTGCTTTTTCCGCCCACCATGCATGAATACATGGATAGCGTTATGCTCCTTCCTTAGTCTTCTTATTAAAAGGTTAAAAATATGTAGGTGGTGCCCTCTAGAAGTAGGAGTCATATTGACATCAAAATCAAATTTCTTATGTCAAAAAACTCCCAGACACCAATTTTCATCCAAATATTGACGTTACTTCATAAATTATTTTGAAAAAATCGAAATAAAAATGTAACTTCTACACCCTGTATCTCCAAAATATTTTAGGACATACTTTTATACGAACTTTTTTACTTATCTTCTTAAGTTTCCAGAATACAGTTCGGACCACCCTGTATGCCCAATATATATATATTTTTTTAATTTACAGTTTATTTTGAAGCCAATATCAACAACGTTAGACAACAAAACAACTAATAAAACTAAATAATACAAAAGAACAACTCAATCATCGTCTTCTTCTTCGGTGTTGCTAGGATTGAAAATTTCCACCGGTTTTTCGTCCTCAAAATCTGTCTCGGACTCTCCTCCAACCTCACTGGTGTACGTGGTAGTGGGAGGTTCAGTCTCCTCGTCGCTGCTTATTTCTCCCATGATAAGTTCCATCTGTTTATCCTTTGTCATCAAGGCTTCTTCTCGCTCTTCTAGCGTTACCAAGTCTTTATCTATTCTCTAAAACAATAGTTATTTGTGTACCAAGGCCTTAAAGTTGTTAAAGTTCTTCTTTGGCCGAATCTGAAATTTGCAAATTTGCAAATTTCAGATTCGGCCAAGATTAAAAATAACAATAAAGATTTTAATACATTTATTTTTGCCTGGTAAAAATGCTAGACTTCTTTGGCTTGAAACCTACATTCTGGCGTTTTAAAAAAGCGACGAGTTTGTGATATTTTGATATGTCAGTCTTTTCCCTTAATTCTAGCATTGTCCGGATCATGCTGTACGTAGCCCAAAGAGTAGATGGTTTTTTCTGCCTTACCATGTCGCTAAAATATGCCATCAAGACTATCTCCGAAGCAATATTCTTAGCATTTCTTTCGGCACACCATTTTTCGTATACTTTCAATGCTATTTCATATCGCCCGCTATCGCTACTTTTCTCTGGAAGTAAACTGGTTTCTGCTCTTTTTGCAGCTTCTGTAAGTTCTGGTGGAGTACAAATATTAAAGTAGCCTTCATTATCAGGACTCTCCGACAACATTCTGGCTTTCTATGTTATACAAATTCGAAAAAGCGAACGAGAAATTCAAAACTGTCACTTAGTTGTTTGTCTTGCTGTTGAAGGTTTGTAAAGAACAACCGCTGGTACCGGTAACTATAGATATGGAAATGCGTAAACAGAAAACGACAAATTTTTGGATATTTATCTTTTTTCGAAATAAAATACTTTCCCTATTTTTTAATTAATGATGTGGTTATAAATAAAATAGTATACAAACCTCGGAGGAAAGTTTTCATTATTGTCTTGAGATTTAGTTAATCTCTCGACAGTAATGTACTTCCCTCCTCGGTATTACAATTTTGTTTCTAAATCAAGACGAAACTGGAAGATTTAAATATCTTATTTTTACAGGTTTCTTATTAAAAATAATCTAATGTATCAAAAAATGGAAAAGCTGCAGGGCCGGGAAACATTTTCATTGAGCTAATAAAGCAGGGACCCGATATATTATTGGAAATACTAGCTGATATCTTCAACAGATGCCTGATAAAAAACGACAACATTCCTGAAGACTGAAATCTGGCGTACATCAGCTCTATTTTTAAGAAAGGAGGCAAACAAAGATGTAACAACTACAGAGGCATTAGTTTGACAAGCTCAATGGGAAGGTTGTATGGCAGGATATTAAAAGAGAGAGTAGAAGAGAGCTTTGAAGAAATAGAAGAACAAGGTGGTTTCCGCGCTGGGCGTTCTTGTACAGATAACATATTTATGTTACAACAAATAATTGAAAAAAGGAAAGCTCCAAATTTGGACACGCATCTGGTATTTATAGATTTAGAGAAAGCCTATGACACGGTGCCTTTGAAGAAATTATTTGAAATCTTGGTTGAGTCAAATTTGAGTAAAACATATATCAATGCAATCTGGAATATGTACAAAAATCCGAAAAGTATGATCAAACAGGAGAAGTTCCTATTGGAATCCTTCCTGACATCAAAAGGACTCAGACAGAGGTGCAGTTTATCTTCTCTTCCTCTTCATGTGCCTTCTCCTCGTCGGAGGTTGGCGACCATCAATTGGTCTTGAGCTTGTCTCAACCCTGTCTTGAGCCAAACGGATAATTGCACTGGCCTTATATTAAACCACTGGCGCAAATTCCGCAACCAGGAAAACCGTTTACGCCCGATGCCTCGTCGTCCTTCAATCTTTCCCTCAACGATCAGCAGTTTATCACCTACCTTATTTAAAATATATATCCAGGAGGCATTGAAAAACTGGAGAAGGAAGAGTAGAGCTATGGGAATATAGATTGACAACCACTGTCTATCGACCTTGTTCTTTGCAGACGACCAAGTTATTGTTGCAGGTTGTGAGGAGGATGCCGACTATATGTTCAGGAAACTTGACGAAGAATACGATAGATGGGGACTCAATATCAACCTCACAAAAACGGAATACCTGAAAGTAGGAGAAGAACAAACTGAAGATCCTGAACTACACATACATGAAATTAAAAGGTGTAGCGAATATAAATATTTAGGAAGTATTATATCTGAAGAAGGGAACTCCAAGAAAGATATACATAGTAGAGTTCAACAAGGTAAGAAAGTAATCGGTCTTTTAAACCCTCTCAGTAGAAATGAATGGAGATCAAGTAAGATATCTGAAGATATATAACTCCAAGAAAGATATACATAGTAGAGTTCAACAAGGTAATAAAGTAATCGGTATTATATAATAATATATCTCATCCATCCAAACAAAGATAAGGATTTACAAAGCAATCGTAGATCCAATTTTAACATATATATGTGCCGAATGCTGGCAATTTACAACAAAAGAAAGTCGAGTCAGTGGAGATGGACTTTCTAAGGAGAGCATGTCGAATATCAATATATGGAGCACAGTAGAAATGAGGAGATCAGGCAAAGAAGGCGAATATATACCAGCACCGACAACATCGAATCGAAACAGCTACTATGGTATGGGCACGTAAAAAGAATGGAGGAAAGATGGCCAAAGGAGTATCGTCCCCAAAGCAGAAGGAAAAAGGGAAGACATACAACTACGTGGTTTGATAGAGTAGACCAGTATATGAGAGACAGAGCTATTAACCAGGAAGAATGGCAAAATCGAGCAATATGGAGGTCGAAATGCGGGATGCGGCAGAAGCAATTGATGTGAAAACCAGATCTTTGCATCTCTACTAATAAACGTTACCCATAAAACACACAAAAATGGGACACCCTCTACAGTTTGGTCTAAAAAAACTATACCTACCGTTAAATTGGGCAATAAAACCAACAATCCAACTCGAACCGGGTCCATTCTTCTAACTGGTCCATCTTCACCAAAAGCTTCCTCTTGTGGATCATCCTCATCTTCCTCGGCACCTCCTTCACCCTTCACTGTGTCAAACCTTTGTTTACCCCTGACAGGGTTGCCAGTAATAATCAGAGTCCTCAGGTTTGGCAAGCACGCCAACTTTCTGAACTGTCTTAACTTAGTAATGTTGTTATTTCTCACGTTTAGGTATTCCAATTTGGTGAAATATTCGGAAAATCCGTTGAGTTTTTTGATCTTGTTGTCTCGGAGATGAAGGGTGGTGAGATTAGTGAGTTTGGACATGGCCAAACCTGAGATTCTTGTGATTTTGTTTTGAGCTGCGAATAATCTTTCCAGGTGTTCAGGGTACATGCCGCTGATGTCCATGAGGTGGTTTCCTTTCAGGTCTAGTTCTTTTAAATGTGGTAATCTGAAATTAAACAGTATACCGTGTAGTACCTGTACAGGGTGGGTCAAATTCGACGCTTTTAAATGGAAACACCCTTTTCTATAGGAGATAGACGAAAACTAATATCGGTGTCCGGAGCACAATTCTCATCAAAAACATGATGGTGAAAACCGCACATCAATATCTGTTACCGTTTCGGAGTTACGGGGTGTTTTTCAAAAATGTGCATTTTTAACAAATCGCTGAACTTTTTGCTATGGAAAATTTTGTATTTCTATGAAAACATTTCCAAAGCACCTTTTACGTAGAATTTAATGGTTTCAGTATAATTTTTTTAAATTAATAATTTAAGAGTTATCAACAGAATAATTCATTTTTTATTTGGGACCTTTATTTGGTGCTCTATATTTTAATTAACTGAAAAGAATTTAAAATTACCTTTCCAAAAATATAACACACTTGATATTTTGTTATAATCCCCTTCGAAATACAGAATTTTTAAAAGTTCGCCACTTTTAACTAGTAGGCTTTGGACCCCTTATTGATGATATGCCCTTAATGGAACTCGAAAACATATTTTTCCAGCAAGACGACGCACCGCCTCTGAACGCTAAAGTTATCAGCAAATTTTTGCAGCCAATTTCAAGAATAATTGAATAGCTAACCAAGATCCTAGCCGTTACTTCGTGCCCATGGATCTAATCATATGAATATATTTGCGGAAGAATAAAGGTTCCTTATTCTTCCGTATAATCTAGAAAAGAATTAGAAATACTTAGGAGTTATAAGAGTTATAACTGAGTTAATGAATTCCGCGAGAAATGTTCAAAAACTGCCCCGTCTATCCATAAACAGAAGACGGTCGATATGTCGAACACTTGTAGCAAAATCTCATGTCTTGGTTTGCTACTTATTTTTATTGTTATTAAATATAGTTTAAATGTGTTGATGTTGGTTAAATATATTTTAAATTGTTATAAAATTCTGCATCTCTCATAGCAAATATTATTTTCGTTTTAATTGATGCTCACAGCTAGAATTTTTTTGCATTACAGCCGGTGCCGTTCAAAGCCTACTTATTTAAAGCGGGCGAATTTTTATATACTCTATATCTCGAAGAGGAATCGAGCAAAATATCAAGTGTGTTATATTTTTGGAAAGGTAATTTTAAATTATTTTCAATAAATTAAAAATATACAGGGTGCCCCATATAAAAAATCAAATTTTCTGTTGATAATTCTTAAATTATTAATTTAAAAAAAAGTATACTTAAACCATTAAATTCTACGTAAAAAGGTGCTTTGGAAATGTTTGTTTTCATAAAAATACAAAATTTTCCAAAGCAAAAAAGTTACAGCGTTTTGTTAAAAATGCATATTTTTGAAAAACACCCCGTAACTCCGAAACGGTAACAGATATAGATATGCGGTGTTCACCATCATGTTTTTAACAAAAATTGAGCTCCAGACATATTATCTCTTGTCTATCTCCTCTAGAAAAGGGTGTTTCCATTTAAAAGCGTCGAATTTGACCCACCCTGTACCTACTTGTCACTAATAGCTTATTAAAACATTTAAAAAGTCAAAAACTATTTTTACTATACCTCTCCGATTCAAACTGGGCAGTGAATATCTGATTAAACTCCAAATTCAAAGTTTCCAACATAGGCTGGGCTATATCGTACGTCTCCTCCACTTTGTTAATGTTCAAAGACAACACCTGCAAGTAAGGCATCTCTCCCAATGCCCCTGATTCGATTCTGTTCCGATCAGCCTTCAGCAAAATCAAAAAAGGCATCTGGCTCAATACTTGCAAAGCCTCCATGGTCAGGAAATTGCCACTAAAGTCCAGAAATAGCACGTGCTTGAAGCTTAGAACGATCGAAATATCGGTAAGCTTTTTGTCGGTGGCTGTTATCATTAGATAAGCGTATCTTGCTCCAGTTTCGTCTCTGCCTAGGGTGTTTAAGCATCTGGAAGCTTCATCCCATGTTAGTTTCTTGTCTTTGACAGGGATGTCATAGGCGACAATGAACTGGGGCACTGGAGGTTCGAAAAATGGATAGTCTTCGGGTCTTAAGGCTAGGGGAGTTTTTCTTCCGTATGCGCCTTCTCCTTCTGCCATCATTTGACAATGTCAGACAGTGTCATATTACAGGTGCTTAAATGAAGGGAATTTAAGGGTGTATTCCGTTGCTTACCTTGGTTATGGTTTTATGTTCCGTTTCTATCGGTTTCCTGCAAGTTTTCTTATTACGGAACACGGTTCCTGAAAAATTCGGTTATAACTGTCACCAAGCTAGCCAGCGCGAGAAGGCTGGTTTTTCTGGTTTTGTTTGTCAATCAATGTCATTTATGTGACAGAAATCAAGCAAATATTGGAAGTTCGAGTGAAATTCTTATTTAATTTCTAAAATTTGTAATAATATTTTCTATTTACATCCAAAAGCAATGGAGGTAGACAGTAAAGGTAAATAAATTTCATTAACTAAATAGAATGACTTTTTAGGACCATTTAAACTTATCATGCAGCCATTGTTTCTTAAAGTCAGAAACATTTAAAGAAAACATGAAAAGACAACAAGTAATCGTGAATGTTTTGTAAGCTATAAAAATATAAATATTGATTAGATTTGTTTATTTATTATCGATCGGTTTTAATATTGGACCTGCAAATCTTCATTTGAGCTGTCTAACGAGTTTAACAGTTTTTAATACAGTACTTCAAACTCCATTGAAAAGAAGAAGCAAACGTAAAAGCAGAGGATAGGTACAGCTGGTTCCAAAAAAAATGAACACGACTCTTTACACATTTTTTTCGAATATTTGAGCAGTGTATATTTATGTGTCAAGTATTTTGACATGTTAAGGTTAAGGCATGACATGAGTAGAGAAATGGGGGACTGGTATCATAGAATATACTGCCCGAAGTAATAAAAATAAGTTTTAAATCGTATTCAATTTTATTGGAACCAGCTGTACATTAAAAATGCATAAAAGATAAATTTTATAATAGAGGTATTGAAATTTAGAAAACGTCAACATTTGACGTTTCCAGTATTTTACCAAATTGTTCCGTATCAAACCGATGTTTTTCAGGAACCGCTCTTTACCGTAGTTTACCGGTCTGGTTCGCCTCATTTTGCCACGGAATACAGCCTAAAATAACTTTGGTTGCGCATCATAATACGACCACCAGCAAACTCCATAAGACGACGCATTGATGACGTGCAACAAAAATTGATTTAATTTCCCTGTAGTTGGGAATCCTGTTTTAGATTGGTGATTGGTACTCAGAGTTAAATGTGTGTGTGTGATTTGTGATTTGAATACTTATTCTGAAATAGAAAAAGAATTAAGTCATTAAAAAGATTTAAGTCTTTTTATAAAAGACCTATACAGATACAGGGTTATTCACAACATACGACACGGGGTACTGTAGCTAAACGATTAGATTTTTACAAATTGTAAGTTTTGGGTTCGTTGAAGGACTATTAGAGCTTTAGGGTGTAGAGGTTCAATAAGAAGGGATTTTTCGAAACTCGGATTTTAAGGGGGTAAAACAACCCCTCAAATATTAGAATATTTTTTATTTAAAAACCGGAGTTTTTCGGAAAAAGTCTCAAACACGTATATTTTATTTTTTTGTATTACATATTTTAAGATTTCTTAAAAATTTATACAGGGTGGTTCATAAAATATGACCATTAAGTAATCACGATTTTGCTTAAATTGCTTGACGTTTAAAGCTGATTTTTGACAAACAGATTGACTGTGGGGTGTAGAGGTTCGATAAGGAGGGGTTTCTCGAATCTCAAATTCCAAAAGGGTGAAAACGCCCTTCAAATATTACAATATTTTTTATTTAAAAAACGGTTAGTCTTTCGGGAAAACGCTTGGACAAGCATAATTTATTTGGTTTTTTACAAATTTTGAAATTTTTCAAAAAATCATACAGGGTGCTCCAAAAAGTTGGGTAATTGATTAACTACGATTCTGCTTAAACTGCTTAACGTAAAAAGCTTATTTTTGGCAAACGGATTTTTCGAAAGTCAAATTCCAAGGAGATAAAACTACCCCTCAAATATTACCAAGTTATATAATAATATCGCCGTATTGTTTTTCTCATGCTGACATAAATGTGAGAAAATTTTATCCAGTTTATATATTAATGGAAATTCTTGCTTTGCTTTATCATCACCATTACAAATGATTAATTCGACGCGAACGAAGTCGCGAGTACACGCTAGTATTCTATAATAATCGTCAAATCTTTCTTTGTTTCAGAAACCTGAAAACATCATGTCATCTGCCATTTGTAAGAACTTCGTACAAAACGCCTGGAAGAAAGAACTCTGCTCGAATTGCTTCAAATCTAAAGACGAACACTCACCATCGTTGAAGCTGAAAAGCGTCACTCTCGTTTCGAACGTAAAAATCGTCGGCATCATCAGGGATCCTAAAAAGTCAAAGCAAAAGCTGAACGTCGAATTCACCAAGGAATTAAGTGAATTTATCGGTGAGTCTGAAATAAACAGCGGTAAAAATGTATTTTTAAAACAACAGAAGAGAACTGGATCAAGTCCTGGAAGATAATTATGGAGAAAACGAGAGTTAAAGTTTTTAATGTTACTTAACTAAAATTAAACAAGCTGGAGAAGAAAACATGAAACAATGCTTTATTATATTTTAAATTGTATAATTGCAAGTTAAAGTAACTCAAAATACAACTGCGGTCACTTTTACCGAAACGTTGTATAAGTTAAAATAAATAAAAACAATATTTGTCCGAAGTGATTTAGTTTCATTAAATCTATTATTTTAGGATATGGCGGAGAAGACTGGCTATCCGAGGACGAAACCAAAGACGAAGACATCTACGATTCAGAAGACATAAACGACGACGATCTTCTGACCGACTCAGACGAAGACGACTTTATTAAAGAGATCCGATTACAAACCAAGAAAAACACCAACTACAACACAGTATCTTTAGGCGAAATCATAGAAGAAAAGAAAAACTACGCTCACTTAATGCTGGGAAAACCTCTGGTAGATTCCGAAGGCAAAAAACAAACTCTTCTGGTATCTGTCACACCTTTTGGTGAAGATTCTTCAAAGACCTATAGCAACGTAGTGAATTGTAACAATAAAAACGTATCACATTTGTCAGGGTTTACGAGAAACAACAAAGAAAATGGTATCAATGAAAAGAACAGTAAAAACAGTAATTTAAATTCATTTAATAACAAAAACGATGAAGAATCGATAATTGGAGTTAAAGAAGAAAAATCTTTGCTAGATGAAATATCAGAAACCCTCGAAAAAAGTAAGAACCCTATTCAAATCCTTGATAAAAAGAAACCCCAACAAAGTGTATCGAATAAAGAAAACATTAACAACGCTCAAAAAGACTCTGATACATTAACCAAAACAGAAAGAAGAATCAGTTTAACCAGAACACCAGCTTTGAAGAACAGAGATCTAGAAAAACCCGTAGTATACCAATCGAGTTCGGCTAAAATCGAGTTGCTTAACTCGAAAAACTTAAAACTAAATAAAGAATCTGTGTCCAAGGATGAAAATCTCCAGGAAATTAACAATAATAACAGTAAACCCGAGACGAGGTTGTCGAAAGGCGATGAAAAATTATTCAATGACATTATTTCGTCTTCGACCTTCATTAAAAATGAAATACAAAACTCCCGTGAAAACAATAGTACCAGTAAAGCAGGGGAAAAGAAAGGTTTAACGTCTCTTCAAAGTCAAAGTCGTGAACAGGCTGGGAAACCTGACGGTAGGGAAGATCCCGAAGCGGCTCTGGAACTGCCAGCTTTACCAGCTACATCTCCACCGCCTCTGGAAACACAGTCGTCGTTCCTGCATGGTTCTGGCGGTACTCTGAGTGGTTCCAGTAACAACGTTTCGTCGACTACGAACAGTTATCATCCTCCGCTGTATGAGAAGCCGAAAATTCCGTCTAAACCCACTGTGGTACTGACTAGGAAGCCTGGAATGATGGTGCAGAATAATGGTATGGTTCAAAGTCCGCCGATGACGACGTTTGCTAAGGAACCGTTGACGAAACAGGATTCTGGCAGTGATATGGACCCAAGGTTAGTTTGAATGTGGTAGACATGATTTAGTTTTGGTACTAAGATAATTTGGGACTTCAGTGATACATCTCACTGAAACTATAAATGTAGGTATGTTAAGTAACCAATGACACCCAAGTAGCATTTTCACGACTTGCGACCACATGTTTACTAAACACAACGTTGGATTAGTTACAAAAAATAGTTAGCTCCGTACCTTGGGTACTAAAATAAATGTAAACGTTTGATAGATGGTTTTTATCACAAAACATACCCCTTTAGAACTTCATCTGTCATGTTAAGAAATTAAAGTAAATAAAAAGCGCCTCTCGTGTTTGTTCGCATACTAAAAATTTCAATAAATACCTGTATATATTTGTAATATTTTTTAAATTTACAGTTTTTTTAATTGTAAAGCAATATATTACAATTAAATGGAATATATTACATAACAATTAGGGGGTATGTCAGTTTTCTCTTCAGTATTAGGGGGTATGTCAGGTTTCTCTTCTAACGTTTTTTAAATAAAACGAATTATAAAATTTCAATATTTAGTAAAAAAGTAAAATATAAACTGGACAAACGCTTACTTACATTGCAATAAAACTGCCACCTTTAGTTTTGCAATCTAAACGCCATATTTCTTCTTCACAAATAAAAATATCCGACAACACAAAAATCACTGACACTTCCGCTGCTGACAACGAAAACTGAAAAATATAATAGCGCTTTTTGTTTTGAACCTGCATATCAAAATTTTTATGAAGAATGCACTTTTCTCAAAATGCCAAAAATTCTTTAAAAATTCTAAAATACTCATAGAACTTTGGTTTTATCATTTGATTTTTTGATTTATTCTTTTTCAATCATCATACCAGAGCAAAAAAAATAATGCTTGTAGCGATCAATAAATGCGGAAATTATTTGTAAAATAATTTTCTTAATATATTTCCGTATTGTGGATCAAACATCTGCGATTGTCCTTTATAGACATTAAGTTTATTAATTATACTAACTTTATAAAACAACATTCGTTACAGTTGACTGAACAGTGTAATTTATTACGCATAGCTAAACGTACAGGGTGTCTAGTTTCTAGATTAGAGAAGAAAATAACATCTCAATATGTTCTATAGATTTGATCTGTTTTAGATTTGATTGATTTTCATTAATATCCAACGAACAAAGTCAAAATTTACAATAAATTCTAAAAAATAAAGAGTTTCAAAGTTAATTAAATTAATACTTATGAAGTTTTATGGTCAAAAACAAGTCAAAAATATCATTTGTCACACTGACATACCATTGAATAACTGAGAGACAGTTTTTCTTGATTTTTTAATAGAAAAAAAAACACCTACGCACCAAATACATTTAAAATAGAGTTTAAAACGTATTTTGAACATGTTTAAACTAAAATATTGAAAACATCACAACCCTGTTGTTCAGTGTTCATTGGTTTTGAGTGAGTCAAAAAGGATCTAAGTGTATTTTGCGATTTTAAAGGAATGTTCGTATGTTCTATTGTTTTCTAGTCGTACTTATTTCCTTCTTCTAAAACGTCTTGTATATACTTATATGGTATTGTAAGTTCTATATATTTGTTTCTATATTTTTTTATACAGACTGAATAAAAGAAAAGCTCCAAAACCGCCCGAAGAAACGCTCATCATCAACTCAACAAGTGTACCAAATGGCATTAGTGGACCGTTATTTACCAGAAATTCCGTGGTTCTAACCAATGGAGACTCGCCAGTGGTGAGGGAGAAGGAGAAAAAGGAGAGGAACGAGAGAGCCAGCTCGTGTACTCCCAAAATGTACAGTGTGAACACTGCTAAAAATGAGAGCGACCATTACCAAGTACCGGCACCGACACCAAGGAAGAGCTTTTCCATATCGACAGACAATTTGGTAAGGCTTTAGATATTTTTTTATTTAAAACCATAATCGACCCATATTTTTCTATGGATATGTCATTATTCTTATTATACGAGGGAAATGTTGAAGACGCTTCTCCGCATTTTCGATGTTTTGAACAATATTTATAGGTGCCAAGTCGTAAATTTTCAATTACTTATTGAGGATTTATAGAAGAAGAAATAGTTTTTACTAAAGAGCAATATAACGCACAAAATCACAATTTTTTCGATTTTTACTGACAGTTCGATAAGCAAAACGATTCTTTAATGTAACCGTTTTCAAATCGCTTAGCGCAATCAGTAAAGACGCTAAAGCTTCTCTCAGAACCTCGCAATTAGTGGAATAAATTAGTGGTTTCAATTATTCTTTATACCTTTTAGTTTACGATCATTCACAACAAAGAATATACCTAGCTAGGAAAAGAATGGACTCTGCCATACTGAAAAATGGTCCTACAGAAGTGGCGCCATCTATTGAGTAGGGCTTGTTTTAAATGGATCGAAGCGCGGGCTTTTTAAATGAGAGGATTTATTGACTTTTACTCTAAAATAATTAAATTTGATTATTAAATCTTATTTTTTACACATCACAACGATACTTGTTATTAGTATTGTTGAATTTGTGTAAAAAATAAGATTTAATAATCAAATTATTTTAGAGTAAAATCCAATAAATACGCTCATTTAAAAAGCCCGCGCTTCGATCCATTTAAAACAAGCCCTACTCAATAGATGGCGCTACTTCTGTAGAGCCATTTTCAGTATGGCAGAGTCCATTCTTTTTCTAGCTAGGTATCTGTAGGTATATTCTTTGGTTGGTTACTACCAAGGGGTTACTACCACTAATTATGACGTTCATGCTTACATTAAAATTAGGTGAACATACACTAATAACTATATATTTTTTATATATTATATATATATTTTATATATTATATATTTTATATATTATATATTTTATAATATTATATATTTTATATATATATATTATATATATATATATATATATATATATATATATATATATATATATATATATATATATATATATATATATATATATATATATATATATATATATATATATATATATATATATTGATTATATATTAGTGTATTGAGTAAGATACTAGTGTCGCAAGGTATCGATATTCGACATCGCTAAATGCTATTCGTTTCAGACAAACACCAACGACGAAAAACGCAAAGAAAAAACTAAAGGACGCTTTTCACTGAGGAAGTTCTTGCGCATGGGTTCGAGCAAGGATTTGCCCAGAATGTCCGGCGATTCGCCTACAGATGATGCCCTGGACTTGCCCAAACCTAAACCCAGGCTGGTTATCGTTCATCCGACTGAATTGAACGGTTCCAAGGTTGAAGTAGTGACAAAACCTGACAAAGTTGATGCTACTAACGTTGACACCATAGAACGGTAAGCAATAATGTTAACATTTCATTTATTTACTCGATACTGCATAAATATAAGCGATACCAATTAAACTTTTAGTTGCGTAATCGAGGGCGCGATTTTTAAATTCATTGTTGCCAACCGTGGACATATTCGGCGCCGGGCTGACTAACTGGAATTTAAACTTCCCGCTGGGAGTTCAGGTGGTAGCTCGGCTGTAAAAATGTCAAGTTGCCACATTTATTTATTTATTTCCTGATATTTTCATTCGTTTTGACACTTTAGTTTTGTATTACGAGTTTTTGGTTTAAATTAATAGTGATGTGTTAATTTTAAGCTTAAAAATGTTTACCTTGCAGTCGAACATGGTTCTTCTTAGAACCTCTTTTAGTACTAAGTGTACAAGATAGCTTTATAGCCGTAAAAACTCATCGCAACTTTATTAGAATATTTTGAACGGCCAAGCGGTAGTAACGGCCCTTTATGTCCTATAAGTGCTGATAAAAGGTGTGTTTTGTTGATGTAAATATAATACCTCTTTATATATTTATAATTAATTTATTTTTGTTTCCTAAAATATTTTGATTAAAAAGAAAATATATAAAACTAGGCAACGCTGTGCCGGTCAAGCTTAATCACGTGACTAAAAGTTTATTTGATATGAACTATATAGAGATTAACTTCTAGACATACAAAGATGGCGGAAAAATAATGTTTTTATTTTTATATTGAAAACGAAAAGAGATAGACTCATCGAGCTTTATGGAAGCACAGTTATGCAAAAACACACTTTCTGGTAATTTTTTTCACTTTTAAAATAGGTGAAAGGGGTTGAAATAAACTACCCTTATCATTCTTGTTAACGAAATTTAAAGAAAAATCTTATCAAACACATGCAAAAAAAAATTGGATAGTTTAGTTTGTTTAGACACTTTTTTATCTCATGTGTTTTTTTAGTAAAACTCACCGATTTGAAATTAAAAAATAAAATGTAAGGCATTACATGTCAGGTCAAAAAACATTTTTGGATAAAGAATCAAGTAGGCTGCTGTCAAACAGTTTTATTTCGTAATAATATCGTTACATTTTCTTCTGAACGATAACCTCTTAAAAATTATTTACCAAGACAATTTTTAATTCTGTATTTTAATTCATGAAAGTACAAAATAATAAAAAAAGTACATATTAAAAAATAAAAATGTTTTTTGTCCTGACATGGGGTAATGCTTTACATTTTATTTTTTAATTTCAAATCGGTGAGTTTTATCAAAAAAACACAAGAGATAAAAAAGTTTCTAAACAAACTAAACGATCCAAATTAATTTTTTTGCATGCGTTTGATTTTTCTTTAAATTTCGTTAACAAGTATAATAGGGGTAGTTTATTTCAACCCCTTCCACTCATTTTAAAAAAGTGAGAAAATTACCAGAAAGTGTGTTTCATAACAGTAATGCTTCCATAAAATTTCATTAGTCTATCTCTTTTCCTTTTTAAGATAAAAAATTAAAACATTATTTTTCTGCCATCTTTGTACCGCGATATCTCCCTAATGGTTGACTTTTGACCCAACGTTTATGAAGCAAACTACCCTTTATTTTGAACAAGGAATCACCCCCTGAAGTTTTTCGCATTTGTTTTGAAACACCCTGTATATTTATAATTACATAATTTATTTTTGTTTCCTAAAATATTTTGATTAAAAGAAAATATGTAAAAGTGGGCAACGCTGTGCAGGTGAAGCTTAATCACGTGACTAAAAGTTTATTTGATATGAACTATATACAGACCGGACCACCGTAGTAGTAACATAGAATTAGCGTATACCCGTCCACCGGATAAAAAGCAGGCGAAAAATTGCGATAAAATAAAAATAGGTAGATATGTCGTGATAAGAATGTTATAGAATTTGTATTTATTCGTGTTTTAATAGCCAAAACGAATACATAGATTCTCGCTACAGCTCTCGTGTCAAATTTATTTTTTAAGTAAAATTATGGATGTTTAAGAAGTTCGTGAGAAAATTCAAATTGTAAATTCTAAAACCGTATTTCCAAAATAGGTCTTATCGGGATATACAAACAATTTTTCCACAAACTTTTGTAAACAGGCCAATTCCATCTTTACCTACTATATCAAGAGTTATTAATAATTTTGAAACACATGGGGGTGCGTGTCTCCACAAAAACCCAAAACAGCATGATGTGTTGATTAATGAAGAACAGGAGTTAAAGCAAGAGTTTGGGGTGGTTTTGTAGGGGAGCATATGATTGGTCCATTTTTTATAGAGGGTAATTTAACCGTTCCAAAGTATTTGGACTTGTTACAGCAGCAGATTGTCCCTAGAATTCGTGAGCTATTGGGAGAAAGATTCCACAATGTCTGGTTTCAACAAGATGGTTGCCCTGCCCACAATGCCCGTATCGTTCAAAAATATTTTTGGACAATACTTTTCCCTTTTCCCCCTTTTTTTGTTTAATTAGTGGATATGGAACTATTTTTTGGCTCGCTAGACCACCAGATCTTTCTCCCAATGATTTCTTTTTGTGGGGTTATGTAAAATCCAATGTGTATGGTCATAATAGGGCTAATAATCTAGATGAGCTGCAAGTAAAAATACGAGAGGCTTTTCAAACTATTAGCACTAATATGTTAGCTAATGTCAGACGGGGATTTTACGACTGCCTAGGCTTCTGTCTAGCACAAGAAGGTGGTCTTTTTGAACACTTGTTATAACTTTTTTTATTTAGAGTAATATTTTAGTTTTTTTCGGGTTTAGAGAATTCATTATTTTTTAATTTTGGTTTGTAAACACACTCAAATAATAAATATTTAAGTATTTTTATTTTAAATGTTACCTTAAGTGAAGGTAAACACTTAAAATGAAAATAATAAATACCCGGCACTCCCCGCGTCGTAATCCTAGTGTCACGACCGACCCGTCCAAGCACAACTGCAACTGCGTACTGCCTGACCAGCCGACTAGCCGGCAGTGAATCTCTAGTACGAAGGCAAATCGGGTAAACGTAAATTCGTCCGGCTACTTGCTATGTTACTAGTAGCCTGGTCTTCTCTGTATAGAGATTGACCTCTATAAACGTGTTTTTTTCGATCATACGATACTTATTACATATTACAGTTTTCAGAGCTATTCTTTTAGTGATTTTTTTCTGGTTTTACAATGTTTTTCTTTATTTTAAGTGTAAAATCAAGCAAGCCACCTCCACCACCCAGGAACTACGACAACTGGAAACCACCTATATCTTCGGCGCCTCCACCAAAAAGCATGGAAGTGATCAATAAGCAGCGCGCTCTGTCCAGAAGTAGTTCCAGCTCTAGTACCAACAAGAGCAAGTCCGAAACGGTATACGCCAATATAGGAGAAGTTAGGTGAGTTGAAAAGAATATTATAATTTATTAAATATGCTTACGAATATTTTGGAAAATAGATATACCGTGCTGGCAACTGTTACTTTTGGGTCGGCATTTACATGTGTGGAAGTAAATCGCATAAGGATCTTATTAAGTCGGAGTGAGAGAAAGGCGACGGTGTGCTGTTGCGGCGTTGCCGGTACGCCTTTCCCTATCAAGTAAAGTAAAATCACGATCGCAAACCGCTTATTTTTAAAAGACTTTTTTTTCAAGAGATAACTAGATAAAATCGTTAGACATGTTTCTGAGCATCTGAAATGGAATTATAAGGATATCGTTAGGGTGTAATTTTTTTATAACGAGAAAACGTCAGTAATCGCGATAATTAAAAAATCAACTTTTTAACACATAACAGGCCATAACTCAAGAACCACTTTAGATATTAAAACTTTTTTTTATTTTCAGGATCGGATATTTTACAATATGTTTACATAAGAAAGATTCGATAAGGTTGTTTTTTCCATTGAAAAATTGTAAACAATCCATCCATTTACTTTTAGAGCATAGCAATTTTCAGCAATCGTGTAATTTTTTTATTGATAAAGATTTTCACATACTGTCAACAAAGAAAATACAGCAGAAATATTAACAAAATTCTTGAAAAAACTACAATCTATTATTTCTAATAGATTTAGAGATATCGATTTTTGAATTCAGAGTTCTAATAGCGCGACCACTATCGAACACCCACTCAATTCCACTTATTTTTACCAAAAATGCAAGTGTTTCTAGCTTGCACTTAAAAAAATTCAAGCTATAGGGAAAATTACGACTCGTTAAAACGTTAAATAAACAAATTAAGTATCACTAGACGTAATTAAATCGTGAAGCTAAACGCGCATGACGTATACACCTCTCCCTAGAACTTTAAGTACTGACAGAGGTATTGATTGGGTCGACCGGTCAACTACGACAAATCTGCTATATCCCCTTCCACGTCTCTTAGCGATGTGCACACTTTCCCGGTTTATTTCATACGTTTGGCAACGTCTTTACTGTCCTCTCTTTGTTCAGTACATTATAAACGCATTGTACTCTTCTTACATACGGAAATGCCGACCCAAGACTAACCTTTGCCAGCCCTTAGTACTATAATTTTCCGGCAAATGCAACAGTCTATGATTTTAATGATAATTAGTAGAATTATGAATGCAGAGAATGTATTAGATACATTTATATAGAATTAAATAAAAATATCGTCATAATTTATTCAGATATGAGACACATTTTTTAAATAATATACTGGGTAGTCCGAACTGTATTCTGGAAACTTCGCCAGCATATTCTGCAAATAAAAATAAGTAAAATGGTTCGTATAAATGTATGTCCTAAAATGCTTCGTTATAGGGTGTAAAAGTTATAATCAAAATAAACGTCAATATTTGGATCAAAATTGGTGCCTGGGAGTTTTTTGACATGAGAAATTGGATTTTGATGTCAAAATGGCTCCTACTTATACAGGGCGCTACCTACATATTTTTTAACTGGTTTGAACTTTTCGTCCGTACCTGTATAAAACTACTAAGTAAAAAAATATACATTTACGACGTTTTGTGCGTAAAAAAGGTCTCTTGGTAAAAATCGCTACGAGTAATGGTTCTTAAGATATTTGGAATAGAAATTATCGATACCTGTCATCATTGATAAAAACATGTTAACTAAATAGTTATTAGACTGAAATTATAAATTTGAAATGTTTTTGTGCAAAAGAGTTCAACAGAAACTGTTTTATCGTCATTTTTTCGAAGAAAAATTTGTAATTAAGTTCTCAAATTTACCGGCATCTTTCATGACCTGCACTCCAACTTTTATTGATTTCTCTATATCTGTCTGAATTTTTGCAGATCTGCAATGGTACCCAACAAGCCTGTTAGAACTGCCAGCATGAGAGAGCGGGAAGCCCAGCAACAGAAACAGGTCCAGCACAAGAAAAATATCTACGAACCCATTGGATCTGGTCGTATCAAATCCACGGAAAACGTCTACGACTACGTCAACACCCAGTGTAACCGTTCGAGTAGTCCAAGCAGCGATTCCAGTGGCAAGAACAGTCCCAAATCGAAAAACCTGAGGTTAAATAAACGGTAAGAAAAATCAAGATTTTCTTTAGCGGAAAACACTGCGACTTTAGTAGGCTTGCCCTTTGTATTTTCTTTTTTTGTAGGTCTGAAAGTTCGATAGATGTTTCTGGAGAATATTTTAAATACGGAAATATTCCTAGAAGTTTATCTCTCACCTACTGCGGAAGCGAGACAGAATCTGAAATTTATTCGCCTTACAGCTTCTATGGAAGCGAAAGTGAAGTAAGTACACATATAAAATCATATTTATATAAATAAATACATATAAAGTTTGTCCAACGAGTCAGGATAGATTTCGACAGACGATATCCAGAAAATAACAGAAAATTCAATTTACCTTTGAATTAAAATGACAAACAACAACTGTCACTGTCAGATATATTCTTGTTGGACAGACTTTATATGTAGTATCCATTTAGTTTTGTCTACATATAATATAGAGATCACAGGATAACTTATGATCAATATCATATTATATAGAAGAACTAATACTGTAGAATCTTAATTCCTAATTTTAATAAATAAAAAATCAATCTTAAAGAAGTTAAAAGATTGGATATTTAAAACCATTTTTATATGGCGTCTTCATTTTTAACGATGATTATAATAGTTATTTTTTATACAAGACGATAATGCAATTTTATCGTCGTGTGTAAAACAATATGTTTTTCCATAGCAAGTTACATTTTAAAAAATATTCAGAAATTATTATTTCAAGGAATTTATTACCGGTAGAAAAAATATTGTGCTAGGTTGGCGTTGGTTTCTATATAATTTGACAAATAAATAAAGCTGTCTCTTTAGTTGTCAGTTTTGAGTCAATATTTTTTAATTCTCTTTCGTCTCGATTGCTGATTGAATTGAAGCCAGAAATGGCTCAAAACGAAATAAGTAAATTACTAACAGATATTCAGGCTGAGGCGACAAACGCCATATCCAAACTACTTCCATTTAAATCCCGAATAACTTATGAAAAGGAATAGAAAAATTTTCAAAAATTGAAGCAATTAAAAAACGTGCGAGAAGAAATTAAGTTTTGAACCTATCCTCGCTGTTAAAGCATCTGTTAAAGTAGCATTTAATCTACCCTTGTGGTTAAAGCATAGGGTTAAAGTCAAAGGGTTAAAGTACTATTTTTAATAGATATAAAGCAATAATTTTAACAGTTGCTATGGAAAAAAATATTTTTATAACAATCACTACAAGGTGCTCCCTATATTTATCTTATTAATACTTACTTTTAGGTAACTGAAGATGACCACGACTGGATACAAAACGGCAGGACACACAAGCTACGATCCAGAAAAGGACGAAGCATCGTGCACAAAAATCTGGAAGATAACTATGGCGCTGTCATAGTTGCAAACCATGAGGCTCTGGCTCAAGTTCTTGAAAATGTAAGTCCACAGCATAGGCACATTTTATACGTATAGTACCCGTCTGTTATATTGTGGAGGCTTAAAAACTATTTTTCTTTAAAGAAAATTGTACAAACCAAGTACAATACGTCAAAAAATTCTTCTTATCACTCTGACATCACTAACTACCATCTATACCACTAACTGTGACAACTGGAGAGGTATTGTTTTGTTAAACACCATTCACAAGATAATATCCTCTATAGTTCATTTAAGGTTAAACTCCTATATAGAGCCTACTCTGAGAGAGAACCAAGCTGGTTTCCAAGCGAACCACTCGTGCATTGACCATATTAACACATTGCGCATTATCATAGAGCAGTCAATAGAATTTAGGTCACCTTTATTCTTATTATTCATAGATTTCGTCAAAGCTTTTGACAGTATCCCCCATGCGATGGTATGGAAAACTCTAAAAGAAAAAGGTGTTCCGGAAAAACTAATTAATATAATCAAGGAACTCTATTGCAGAAACACAGAATGCAATGTGCTGCACAACGGTAGAACCAGCGACAGTTTTAACTTAGGGACAGGAGTAAAGCAGGGTTGCACATTATCGCCGCTTCTATTTAATATCGTGCTCGACAGCGTTTTGACTAAAGCCACAGCAAACATTAGGGGAGTACAATGGACTCTGACATAGCATCTGACGGATCTTGATTATGCTGATGATATCTGTCTCACAACGCAATCCTTCAAAAACATGGAAGTGATGCTCAGACGTCTAAAAACAGAAGCAGACAAAGTAGGATTAAGCATAAACATCGACAAAACAAAGTCAATGCGCATTAACACAAACAACAACACTCCATTCAATGTAGGAATCAAACATGTCGAGAATGTAACAGAGTTTACTTACCTGGGAAGTATTCTAACAGCAAACGGTGGCGCAGACGCGGATATTGTCAGCAGGATCAGGAAGGCGCAGCGAGCCTTTGGCCAACTAAAATCAGTTTGGACCTCCCGTCAACTCTCCATACAAACAAAATTAAGAATATTCAATTCCAACGTCATACCAGTTTTATTATATGGCTGCGAGACATGAGAGTGACAAAAATATCCATCAACCGTCCACAGGTGTTTATCAATCGCTGCTTGCGGAAAATACTTAAAATCTTTTGGCCAGACACCATACGTAACACCGACCTGCTTCATCTTACAAACCAACAAGAAGTAGGCATTGAAATCCTCAAAAGAAAATGGGGTTGGATAGGTCACACTTTGCGGAAACCTGATAGTAATATAGCGAGATCAGCGTTGGAGTGGAATCCCCAAGAAAAAAGAAAGCAAGGACGACCTGCTCAAACATGGAGACGTTCCATACTGGATGAGCTTCAACAAGTAGGGTCAACATGGAAGGAAGCAAAAACAACTGCCAAAAACAGAACCCGATGGAGAGCTTTCACTGAAGCCCTTTGCTCCACGTAGGAGATATAGGATCCTATATATATATATATATATATATATATATATATATATATATATATATATATATATACTCTGACATCAACAGATGATTAAAATACTAGTAACAATAATAATCCCTTTACATCTTTCATCTACTTAGATAATTTATTATACAGGGTGGTCCGAACTGTATTCCGGAAACTTCGGCAGCATATTACATACAGGGTGTAGAAGTTTCATTTTTATTTCTATTTTTTCCAAATGATTTCTGAAGGCCAAATTTCTCATGTCAAAAAACTCCCAGACACCAATTTTCATCCAAATATTGACGTTACTTCAGAAATTATTTGGAAAAAATCGAAATAAAAATGAAATTTCTACACCCTGTATTTCCGAAACTAAGCATTTTAGGACACACATTTATACGAACTTTCTTACCTATTTTTACCTCCAAAATATGCTGCCAAAGTTTCCGGAATACAGTTCGAACCACCCTGTATAAAGGCTTATTTGCATTTGTCATTTAATCATTGACTTTAGTAAAGTCAGTCCAATGAGTCAGGGAAGATTTCGACAGACGACAACCGAAAAATGACAAAAAAGAAAATTGTCTGTGAAATAAATTGACTGACAAAACTCTGACACATTCAGACATTCTCTCATTGAACGGACTTTTCGAATGTTCGAGTTTGAACAGTGTTTTATTGTAATGTAGTTGATTTGTGAACTTACTAAGTTTGGACACATTTTTTTACTAATATCTCTTTATTTTCCAGATACAGCAAACCATTTTCATACAGCCAGCTTTGAGAGGCCTCAAACTCTGTTCCAATCTGCGACTTACCGATTTCACAATGAAATCCGGTATTTCCCCTGTGACAATAGGCTCGAGGACTTTCCACCAAGCTCTGTGGGGCGCTCAGCATGTCACCCTAATGTTCAGTACGGGAATTGTTTCCACTTCGAGTACTATGAACTTGGGTACGTTCAACCTGAACTCCGTCACTGACTTCAGCGACTTGGTGTCTGGTGAGTTGCTGCCAGGCAAGAAAGAAGAAAGTAACAAGTTTGTACAAGGTAAATGAGTAATGAGTAGTGTATCTTTGTCTTATTACATGACTGCGGATGTACGTGACTACGTAATAGGCTTGGTGCATTCTCCGCCGGTGCTGCCACCGCCGCACAGAGGGGCCTAGACCCATAAAAGTTACCGGAAAGTCGAAAATTGAAATATGAGATTTAAGCAAAAAAATACTCGCAAACTATGCAAAATTCTTCTCTTTATTTGATCATGCCAGCCATGGATCAGCATATCCAGTAGAACACCTGCTGCAGCTTGTCAAAGTTGACAATAATCCAAACGTAATAAATTAATATTTTTTAATGAAAATATTGCTCAATTTCAAAGTGGTATTTCTTTATAACGAAATATAATAAAATTAAAATTTAAATGGCTAACACTAACTCCGGTAAGTGTAGATTATTTCTATAGAAACTGTTTTGGATACTTTTTTAGCTTGAGCAAAATAATTAGGTTACAGTTAAAAGTGAACAAATTCTGCAAAACAATTTAAAGTTGTTGATTTATCTGTCCAAAAAGTTAATGATACCTTTGTATTCCCCAAGCACTTTAATTAATTCTTAATATACAAGCTCTTACCTTTAACTTGGTACTAAAACTTACTGCTGTTTTGTGCTGATTAACTAGACAATTATAAATTTGAAATTTGAATACATGGGAATAGGACCCAACATAACATATTATTTTGCAGTATAATTTTTCCATATCATTTTTTGTTTTTTTAGACTTAAATATTGAAATAAGCCACAGTGATTTGTGAAAAAAAAACAAAGAATGCTCATCAAGGTTTTAAGGCCTTTAAGACGTTTAAAAGTTAAATACATTTATTATTTGCTTGTATAAAATCTTTGAATAAGGAGACTAAGAAAGGAGCATAATGCTATCTATGTATTCATGCATGGTGGGCGGAAAAAGCGCCATAAAAGCACTCTAGGGTGAGGATCCTTGACAGTTCTGTTTGACGATTCATTTGACACATTTGAATTTGATTTGAAATTTTGTGGATTTGTCAGTCTTTACGGAGCTTATTTTATGTTATTTATTATTTATTCTACTACTGATAGTTGTATAAAGGTAGTAAATCTAGATGGAAATTGTGGCAGAACTTAAATTAACAGTGACACTATCGGGATTTATCGAAAAAGACTCTAAAATAGTTGGTTGTGTAGCGTGCGGTAGATCTCGGCAAAAATTGAGTGAAATAATGGAACAACTTTTCGCTAGTAAGTGACTATAGGTATAATATACATACGTGTAGTAAACCGATCATTTATGAAATTCACTTAAATTAACTAAATTATATATTTTTCTTGCATTTTAGCTTTTATTTATTACTTGTCAAAGATTTAATGTCAAAGAATTTAGATATGTTAATTTGACTTACCTGCTTCAGTAGCGTATCGGATGTTTGTGTTAATAAATACTTATTATAACTTATCTATTTTTATTACAATTATATATTTTTATAACAATTTTAATAACTACCAACATTTATTCACAACGTAAAATAAAACAACAAATTATTGAGTCTACCCCACGTCTACCCTACATCATAGTTTTACATTTTTTAAATAAAATTAGAACGACACTGATAAACCGGAATTTAAATCGGCCATATTTGAGGCCCATCGCGGTGTACCTAAGATTTTTGATATGCTCCTTTATAAAATGCATTAGCTTTTGACATACCTCGGCTGATGTCTCGTGCTATAATAAAATCTTTTAAATCTTTTGACAAAATATTATTTTACGACTTAAGAAAGCATTTAGAAGCAGTTTTAATAGATATGAAATAAAATTAGATTTTTCGGTATCTTTTCGGGATCGCTGCCCCACTGTGCGCCGGAGAACTCGTAAATAACGAATACATACAAATACACGGGTTTAAATAGTGAGTAAACGAAATAGTATATTATTGAACGAGAAATGTATCCTAGCCATTATTCACGCTAGCCATTATAAATTGCGAGTTGAATACTATACTTTGTCCACGGCCATTATAATAATGATTATGCGGAGTGTTTGAATTTGTATTTTTAATGTTAATCTTACTATTAATTATTGTATTCATGTTTTAGGGGAAAATGTCACTACCTACTTAAAATTTGGCAATTTCAAACGTCAAAATTAATTAAAAGATAATAAAAACGTCAATATCATCAGTTGTTATGCATCGAGAGTCGCAGTCATCTCGAACTATTCTATTTTCAAATATTTGGGAACTTTATTATTAGATATGTTTTACGACATACCTGTATATTAGGACTTTTTTCTATCACCTTTAGTAAAATAAGTTTGTTGAAAAATGATAGATCGTACCACCAGCAGCTGATTTTTTGTTGTTTTGTGTAACTAAAGTTGGTAATTTGTGTTTTATTTATCGTTATATATGTATTTGAAATTTATTGATGCTGCTTCAGGTTTTTTGCAATAAAACATACTTCTACCAACTTTAGTTGAGTACAGTTGTTGGAGAACGATAAATTGGAGTACCAGCATCTGACTTTTTGTTGTTTTGTGTAACTAAAGTTGGTAATTTGTGTTTTATTTAAAGTTATACATGTGTTTGAATTTCAATGATATTATTTCAAGTTTTTTGCATGAAAATATCGTACCAACATTCTTTAGTCAATCAGGACATTGATTTTTGTTCCGTTATAAAGGCAACTAAATATACTAATAACACGGATTCGGAAAACGAATTTATGCCTTTGGCAATCCTCCAGTCTAGAAAGTTTTTTATAGGCAGACATCTAATGAGCGACTTTAACGCAAAAGTTGGGAACAACAAAATGAATGATGATCTAAAAAATATCCTTGGACAATACAGCTTGGGAGAGAGGAATGAAAGAGGAGACCGTTTAATCGAATTTGCCATCAATAACAGCTATTCTATAATGAACACTAGATTTAAACACCACATTCGCAGACTCTATACTTGGAGAAGCCCTGGAGACAGAACACGGAATCAAATAGACTAATATTGACCAACACCCGCTGGAAATCCTCCATTCAAACAGCACGTACATTACCAGGGGCAATATGTGGATCAGACCATCAGCTCCTATTTGCCAAAATAAAACTCAAACTCAAAACACCCTTCAACCACATAACACCAACAAAATTAATAAAAAGAAACAGCGAAGAAATTCTCCAAGGAACCCAGGCTTTCCTGATTACCTCAACAGAAAATACAACAGCCCAAGAAATATGGGAAGCTTTCAAAAAATGCACAACAACTGCAACAGGGTCAGAAAAAGAAGATCAACCGATAAAACGAAAACACTGGTTATCGAACGAGACATTCCAGATCATCGAAGACTTCTCCACCGGAAAATCATACATACAGAAGAAGAGAAAGAAGAACTAAAATACCTGAATAAGGCAATAAAGCAAGGAGCAAGAAGAGACAAACAACAATTTTACTCTGATATATGCAAAGAAATCGAGGGACACAGTCTAAATAACCAAAAAAATAAAATATATTACCAGGGACTTTAAAGCCAGAAATTGGGCAATCGAAGATCAAAATGGAACTTTAAGAACCAAAAAAGAAGACATTATTGAGGTGTGGAGATCATATTGCGAAGATTTATACAAAGACAGTGAAGAATATAACTATGTCGACACCACGAAAATTCAGAGAAAGAACCGGACATCCTTAAAGTGAAGTTGAATTGGCCATAAAGAAATTAAAATACCATAAAGCACCAGGTTCAGACCTAATGACAGCAGAAATAATAAAAGCCGTTAAAGAACCTGGATTAGAAATGCTTCATCTGATCTGTAATAAAATATGGCACACAGGAGAATGGCCCGACGACTGGACACACTCCACCATTGTCACAAGAAAGGGAGCATACATAAGTGCAGCAACTATCGTACAATTTCCCTCATCTCACATGCCAGTAAAGTAATGTTGCAAATTATAAATGAAAGACTGAAAGCTTTTCTAGAAAGAGAAATTCCAGCAGAACAAGCAGGTTTCACCAAGGGCAGAGGCACTCGGGAACATCTTCTGAATATGCGCCAAATCATAGAGAAAGCAAGGGAATTCAACATCTCTCTTTATATTTGTTTCGTAGACTATAAAAAAGCTTTTGATAAAGTCAGATGGCATCACCTGTGGAAAATCTTAAAGGAAGTGGGGGTACCGCAACACCTTATTTCACTTATCATTCAGTTGTATCAGCACACTACAGGATCAGTTAGATTTACTGACATGATACTTAACATTTGAGAATTTTAAACGTCAAAATTAATAAAAAGAAAATATAAGAAAAACGTCAAATCATCCACGCCGCGCATCGGGATGTTGTGAGTGTCACGTTGGCATAATGTAAAGTAAATGCAAAGTGTAATTTATCATAATTCACTGTTATCAGCTGTTATATTTCACACTATTACAAATATGGGCACCATATTCCTTCAGCTAGGAAGTAGAATATTGATTTATTATTAAGTGGTCGTGGACAAAACTTATTATTTAATTATTCTAAAAGTGTTGTGAGAAAGTACAAATTGTGAAAATTCTAAAAATAAAAATAAAAAAGTATATATTTTAGCAATACTTTTTAATTTAGTTTATAAAACTTTTTAGATGAGTTCATCTACGGTAGCGGGCATAGTTTTAATCACCGGTTTTGCTAGTGGGGTCATAATTGGGGCTATTTCGGCTATAACTAAATTTTTAAAAGGTACATAATTATAATTTTAGAAGATGTTCATAAAACATTTAGTCACTAGTTGATTAAAAAAAGTATGCCATTAATATTGCAAATTATATTTTATCCTCTCATAGTATATGTCTATTTAATTTTTTGATTGTGTAATGAGCAGTTTGTTTACTTATTTGTTTCGTCGAACTGCTTGAGTCCATTTTTGATCAAATCGGTGTGATTTTTTTGCAATTTTATTAACATTTGAAATTGTCACAACACATCACGACGCCTAGTTCGAAATCCTTTTCACTTGTTTTTTACTACCCGAAACAGCGTTACATCACACAGACCTCGTACCTGTTTTATAGTTTCAATAACTGCACTAGCAAAAAACTAAAATACTTGAACATTATGACAAAGCCACGATTTCAATATTATTTTAATGCTATCAACATGAAATGTGTATTGATAATTTCTGATTTCTGCCGTTGAAGCGCTGCGATCGGAATTTGTCGAAATCAACTGAAATGCACCAAGCCTATACAACATATTTCACATTTTTTACGAAAAATCTGTCTCTTGTAGCTAGTATAGCTGTGTTGCCCTGGTTACAAATCCACACGATAGAGACATACAGCGACTACCTGAAGGGCAAACCGAGCCAAGACGACACCTGGAAAGACAGTTTCTTCATCATGTTGCAGCTAGTCAATGCTCTGAAAATGCTCCAAGCTCAGGGAATCGAAGAGCTACCTTTAAGTCTAAACAGTTTCGTTCTTTGCAAGGATATGGATAGAGATACTCACCACAGACTGTGTATTCTACAAGGGTAAGTTACTTGTTGATTAAATTATATTTAAAACCTAAGTATTTTTTTATTTTTAAACAAATAATGTTTTTTATGGTTTAAAAAAAATTCATCGATGGTTACGCGCGTTTTTAAAAATCGCCTGTTTTAATAAATTGGATGCATGAAAATCAAGCTTAACGGATGCACGAAAAAAGCTTTAGTTATTTATTCTATGCTTTTTTTTGTTTTCTTATATTAGTATGCCGCCGGAACTGATGACACTCAGCTCGCCGGAAGAGAAGTACGCCAGTCTGTGCACGTGCGCTTCGAAAGCTATGGCGCTGCTTCAACCATTCTCCAAAACCATGGGACTGATTCAGTCGTTGCTGAGTAACGAAAGATCGGTGTCGCTGACTCAAGTCAAGGCGGTGCTGGAGTTCAGCCTGTGGGGACCGTCAGACGTATCGTTGGGTAGTTCTGTCAGGGAACGAGAACTCACCCTTCAAAGGTATGCAAATCCTTAGACATATCTAGAGTTTCAAAATAGAACACTAATTCACCACAATACACGAAAACATTTTACTTTTGCACTGGAAGCAACTTTCGCTAACCATGTTAGCATCATCAGCAGATGATTAAAACTAAACTAATATCTACAAATTGAACGTTTATGTAAACTAAGTAGTCTATGAACTAAGAAATTTAAACTAGCAACACACTTTCCACTTACCAACGAAAGATATGAAATAAAAAGAAATTACATTAGGAACGTAGCTGAGTAAAACGGGTATTCTCCTTCATTAGTTAATAAAATAATTAGAAATCGTAGGTATAAGTTAGAGATTTCTGTGAAACGTTCAATTTTGTAGATATTAGTTTAGTTTTAATCGTCTGCTGATGATGCTAACGAGGTTAGCGACACACACGTCCAGTGCAAAAGTACGGTATTTTCGTGTATTGTGGTGAACTACCACTGTAACACCAAATGTTCCAACCCTCCACTGTAATATACAGGGTGGTCCGAACTGTATTCCGGAAACTTCGGCAGCATATTCTGCGGATAATAATGAGTAAAAAAGTTCGTATATATGTATGGCCTAAAATGCGTAGTTTCGGAGGTACAGGGTGTAGAAGTTTCATTTTTATTTCGATTTTTTCCAAATAATTTCTGAAGTAACGTCACTATTTGGATGAAAATTTGTGTCTGGTAGTTTTTTGACATGAGAAAAGTGATTTTGATATCAATATGACTCCTATTTTTAGAGGGCGCCACCTACATGTGTTTTAACTGTTTTGAATAGTAATAACTTTTCGTCCGTACCTGTATAAAACTACTGCGTGAAAAAATATACATCCGTTACTTTTTACGTAAAAAATGTCTGTTGGTAAAAATCGCTACGAGCAACCGTTCTTAAGCTATTTAGAATGGAAATAGTCAATAGCTTTTTTCGTTTTCCTGTTATTACCGATTCTGAACCGTCCTAGAATTGTGATGCGTATGCGCAGAAGGAAATATGAAGACATTATTTGATTTGCGCATGCGCTGGAGAGTTCTAGGACAATTCAGAATCGATAATAACAGGAAAACGAACAGACCTAATACTTGTCATAATTGACAAAAAAAACAGGTTGAGTAGTTAGTTATTTGTACTGACTGAAATAATAAATTTGGAAATTTTAATTTTTTTAATTAATCATAATTTTTCCTTAAAGAGATGTAGATGACATTGAGTACATGTTTAGAAAATTAGATAAGGAGTATGATAGATGGGTTTTACAAATAAATTTTAAAAAGACAGAATATCTATGCGTGGGCAACAAAGGACAGGACCTACAAATGGAAAATGGAAACAAAATAAAATCATGTACTAAATTCACATACATAACATTCGTCGGGAAAACGTGAATGTTATACTAATAACATACATAATAATGGAAAAAGCGACAATACCATCAATAATAGAATCAACAAAGCCAAAAACATTACAGGGGCACTAAATTCGATTCTTTGACAAAAAAATATAAATACCACAACAAAAACCCGCATATATGACACTATAGTTAAGAGTACACTTACTTATGGCGCTGAAGTATGGCAGATGAGCAAGCCCATGGAAGGAAAGCTTTTAGCAACTGAAATGGACTTCCTCGGAAGATCGGCAAGAAAATCAAAATTGGAAAAAGTGCGAAATGAAGAAATAAGAAGAATAACGAAGAAAGAGATAACCATCATAGAAGAAATAAAAAAAAACAATTAATCTGGTATGGGCACGTAAACAGAATGGGAGAAAAAAGGCTACCAAAGAATATAATGAAATGGATCCCAACAGGAAAAAGAAAACAAGGAAAACCCCGAGAGACATGGTTAAAGGGGGTAACAAAGGCAATGTCATTGCGCAATTTACAAGCCGATGACTGGATGGACAGAAGGCAATGGCGGCAAGGAACCGGAAGGCGGATCACGCTGTAGAACCGGACTTTCATCTAACTACACACACCGGAAAAATCTAGGGATATCATTTTATTAAAGTTAAATATAAATGTTTTGAATAAACAACCACATATTTGTAGGCCGATTCTTTCTACTTCGATTGAAACGAAGTAGTGTACACTAGTTATGTCTAAATTTGGGATATTTGCAGAAATGTTTGTGCATTTTTTGTCAAATGTATAAAAAGCACCTAGCATCAATTGTTCGAATTTAACCTGTACTGGCTATGTTTTTATGATAACTGGCCAGAATTCATTCAAATAACTCTGTTTAGTATTAAACGACATTATGGAGCGTAGACATCTTAAAGGAGACGAAATGCTAAGGGCCATGGGTATGCTCGAAGCTGGAATGCGCCAAATCGACGTAGCTAGAGCATTAAATACAACGCAAAGTGTAATATCGCGATTAAGTACACGGTACCGTGAAAGTGGTGATGTTGCTGAAAGGCACACAGGGCGACATCGCATTACTACCCCTCAGCAAGATCATTTTTTACAATTAAATGCTCGACGCCGACCGACTCTTACAGCACCATAGCTTAGTTTAATTCTCCAGGAAACACATAATGTAACCGTTAGTCCTGACACTGTTGGCAATAGATTAAGAGAGGTTAACTTAAGAAGCAGACGCCCCTGGAGAGCTCAACCCTTAACGAGAGAAATCGAGAGGTACGATATTTGTGGGCTCAAGATCATGTTCAGTGATCGAATGAACAATGGGCAAATGTTCTTTTCACGGATGAGTCACGCTTTGGAATTCATCCAGATTCGAGAAGGCTTAGGGTATGGAGAGAACCGGGAAATCTTATTCGGTTGGATCATGTTCAGGAAGTGCACCCTTATCAAGGTGGAACAGTTATGGTCTGGGGAGGAGTTCAGTTAGGCCGAAAAACCGATCTTGTTTTTCTTGAAAGGTTTCTAACAGGAATCACATATCGTGATTTAATTCTTGAGCCTGTCGTGTTACCATATGCCATTGATTTTGGGAGAAACTTCATTCTCATGCATGACAATGCACGGCCTCATACAGCCAGAGTGGTAAGTGAGTTTATCAATGCTCATCAATTAATCTTACCCTGGCCGGCACAATCTCCTGACCTCAACCCCATCGAGCACGTATGGGACGCGGTCCAACGAAGAATTTTGAGAATGGGTATGCCTCGTGAAACTCGTAGGGATCTGGTTCGGGCCGTGAATGCACCGTGGCAGGCTGTACCTCAAGAAGAGATCGACAACCTGATCAGGAGCATGGAGAGACGATGTAGGGCTGTAATGAACAGCAGAGGAGGCCATACCCTTTATTAAGTAAAATTGGTTTTATTTTTTTTTTAATTCACAGTTTAGAATTTAAAAAAAAAATGTGTATTTTTTGAGTTCAATAAAAATCAAGGTAAATTTGAAAAATTCGGTAAATTTCGCATTTTTATTTCCAATACGTCCTGTAAACTATTTGTTTATTTTAATTTTATTATATCAGAAATGCAAATAATAAAATTACTGACAATGGCTGGATAAAATTGTAATATCCCTAGACTTTTCCGGTGTGTATATTTAGTCAACATTGTTTAATTTATGTCAATGATGACAGGTACTGATAATTTCGATTCCAAATATCTCGAGAACCATTACTCGTAGAAATTTTTACCGAGGTAATTTTTTTTAGGTAAAAAACGTCGTAAATGTATATTTTTTTACTCGGTAGTTTTATACAGATACGGACGAAAAGTTATTACTCTTTAAACCAGTCAAAACATATGTAGGTGGCGCGGTCTATAAGCAGCTGTCATATTGACATCAAAATCAAATTTCTCATGTCAAAAAACTCCATCTGAAAAAATTGATATAAAAAAAAACTTTCACACCCTGTGTCTCCGAACCTAAGCGTTTTAGGACATACTTTTTTACTTATTTTTATCTGCAGAATGTGTGGCAGAAGTTTCCGGAATACAGTTCGGACCACCCTGTATATCTGATGCGAATTTAACCTTCTAGCCTAACTTTATATTGTTTTTCTTTTTCAGATGGTTGGATCTTCAACGAGCTACAGTCCTCCACGGATTGGTCTGCGCAAGAGTCCAACTAACCGTATACGAAGAGTGCCATCTGTTGTTCTTAGTGCGCAGCAATGCTCGCATGATGAGCGACGCATCCATGCTTATTGAATCCAATAACTTAAAATACTCGCATTCAAGCAAGGCTTGACGTACAAAAGATATTTTTATGAGAAAATGATATTCATTTTCGTGTGTTGTGAATCGATAATAAGTTTTTTACATCAATATGTGCAATTTTAAATTATTTTCATATTTTTTTGTACTAATGAGAATCAAAAAAATTATTTGAAAATCCTTATTTATTATTAAGAAGTCTGTCTAAGTATATTAATACTCACTATATTATATTCGAGACTTAAACTATCATTTTTTTTATATACCGGGTGCGTCTCGAAAGTGGCTCACCCCTATAACTTTTTTATTTGTTCATATAAAAAAACGTGATTTGATATGTTGGTATATGACATAAATTGGGATTTATGGACGTATTCAATTGTTTTTGGTCAACAACTTTTGATTTTTAAACGGCACCCTCGATATATTTCTGCTTTATTCGATAGAAAATGACACTCTCAATACAATTACATATCATATGTTAACTGGTAGTGGGAACTATCGAATGAATACTATCGAAACATTAGATAGTTGCAATTCATTCGAATAATTCGATAGCTAGTAAGAAAACATTCGTTGAAAACTATTCGAATAAAAATTATCGAATAGATGCGTCATCTGCCTTGAAATACTGTATTCTAGTAATTCGGCCGCAAAAACCATTCATTTATAAAATTTATTCATTTATTAAATTCATTTATTCGTCAGGATCGATTATAATAAAATATTAACTGGATTTTAGCGGGCGACGTAGGTTTCTTTCCGAGAAACCCGACAGCGGTCGGTGGCAATGCTATGAAAGAATCCGGCATCTTTGATTTTTTGCGGAGTCAGATAAAGATAAGGACACGTTATTTTTTTTATTGAGGTGCTAGTATTTCCACAGAAAAATACATTATGAAGGGCGCTGTTGCCATATATTGGTATTAGTTGGTATTAGCAAAGAATATTTTTTAGCTTTAGTTAGTTAGGGATAGTATATCTATATATTTTGCATTTTTTTTTATTAACATTCTGTTGTTACACTGCAATAATACTAACTTGTTATTTTGGATGTTGGAAAATGATTTTTAATGTTTTTAAGCAAAGACTGGTTTAATAAATAATAATAACAGTAATAATTTGTTATACCTATTAACAACAAAATTTAAAATCATTTAATATAAACATTTTTTTTAAGTAGTAGCAAAATATAAACAACAAATTAGGTGTCAAAATTATTTATATTAGATCCTATTTAAAAATAATATAGTCTCTAAATTTTTTGGCAACGTTGGTTTATTAAATAATAATAATTACAGAACCAATTTGTTATATTAACAACAAATTTTAAAATCATGAAATATAAACATTTATTAATTTTCTAAGCATGCAGTGTAATGGAAGGAAAATATAAATAAAAAATTAGAAATCAAAATTATTTATTTTAGGTACTTTATATTACTATTTAAAAATAATATTTACTTTTACTGGCATTTACTTTAAAAAATAAATTAAATATTTCTTCGCAAAAAACTACATGTAAGAGAATTAGCATAAACAAAATACAAACATCGTTTTTTTTAAATTGGCATGTGTAAAACTTTTAACAATTTAATTTTCTCACCCCATAGCACAGTTTGAGTTCGATAACCATTTACTTAACCACATTACTTAAATATGATTATTAAGTTCACCTAATTCATATTATTAAAACATCTAAAATATATGTATTTTTAAAATTAATTGTAAGTTCATCTCATCTCTCTTAAAAATTGCTACTTCTCAAAATTTCCCATTAAAAAATAGACTATATAAAATTAAATAATTGAAAGATCGGACTACGGAAAATCACACAAATTTTCGGAAAAATTTTGACCACCTGCACACGCACACAATCGTCAATTAAAAAAACTACTATTTTAGTATTTTAAATATTTTAATAAACGCAAAAATAGCAGTATTTATAATGCGAAGTTATAAAAATTTGGAAGAACTAATAATGCACTGACGCAAATCAAACGAATAATAAATTTCATTTATCAAAAGCATTCGATAGTCGTGGCTCATCGATAACCATTTAGTAGCACAGCGAGGTTGTCACATATGCTTTATTTTACAAATGAATGAATGATTTTATTCGAATAAAACCATTCGATAGTTGAAATCATTCATTCAGTAACCATTCGATAGTCTAATTCATTCGATAGTTCCCATCGCTAATGTTAACTTTTGACATTTTCGTTTAAAAAGAAATCGTATTTTAAATTTCAATCTAGAGTGCCATGGCTGTGTTAAAAATACTAATTTGTCATCAAGGAGCCTTGGAAAAATAGTTTTGATCGTCTAATATTTTTCGTCTCTTGCCCTAGCCGGTTAAAAGATGCCCAAATCGTATTTTTAATCATATCTCAATTTTTTCAAATGGAACGAGAGTGGCTTATTAGCATATTTGGAAAAACAATTTTTTTAAGAATAATTTGGTACCAAACACTTGGTACTTCGAGTCAAATTGTCATTATGAACCGCATACTTATTACATATTCATATAAACTATATGCGAAAATGTCAAAAGTTGACATATAATATGTCATTCTATTCAGACTGTCATTTTCTATCGAATAAAGTAAAAAAATACCGAGGGTGTCATTTAAAAATCATAAGTTGTAGTCATTTCCGGTGAAACAGGAAGTGACCGAAAAAAAATTGAATACGTCAATCAATCCTAATTTATGTCATATACTAACAAAAATCAATATATCAAACCAAATCTCGTTTTTTATCTGAAAAAATAAAAAAGTTATATAGGGGTGAGCCACTTTTGAGACACACCCGGTATATTCTTCATTTTTTTCATAACTCAAAAACAGGATACTCACATTTGTCGTGAATTTTCTGCTAGTTCACTGTATCCCCTTATAATATTCTACTATATTATAGTTTTCCACTACTAATAACATAGAATCTTATCAATATTATTTCTAACTCTGAATCTATTACAATTACAATAATCAATTTAATATCATAATTTGGTTGGGTCAAATGTAAATATTTATTATATTAAGCTGAAATCTAGCTTCAGAAACTGCCATTAGAACGAAAGGTTTATTAGGTTATATATTCTATTTTTCTCTCCCTGTACAGTTTTTGTATTTTTATAATTATTTATGAAATTTATGTTGCGTTTTTTTGTCTCTGTCTAATAAATTATAAATAATTGTATATACATACCTTATTATGTAAAAAATCAAACACACTTTGTTAACGTAAATTGTTTAATAAGTTGTGTACAATAATAAAAACATAATGAAACAAAAAAAAACACAGTGTTTTAATCGAAAATATATAACAATAAATATAAAAAATTTAAAATATTGCTTCGGGTACAATACGCGTTTAGGAAAAAAAGTTCCTGATAAAGTATTGCTGCAATAACTTATATACTTGTTTCTTATTAAGAACTTATCGATAATATTATAAACGACTTGACAGGCATTTGACATAACGTACGCTACTAGTTCGACTACAAAAAATTGCCAAAAAGTTGCCAATATTAAGTATAAAGTTTACATATAAAAAAGATAAGTTAAAACGCATAAGGTTTGCAAGTTAACAATATATTTTATAGAAATTTTTGCTAAAGCTCAAGAATCTCAAAGATCATTTGATTTGGGGTTATAATTTTGTTGACATACATCCATGTCAAAATTAAAATTTGGTTGTTGCTGTAAAACAAAATTCAATTTTTTTACTGCAAAAATGTCTCAAATATTTAACCAAAATGAACAAGAGCTCATTGCTATGCTAATAAATTATTTTTCTTAAGAAAGAGACGCTGGTAGGACACTCTTGCCCGTGGACGCCGTATATGAAGTAGATACAACTCAAAGATGTAATATTCCTATGTAAAATACGAATTGATAGAGTTTGAAATAATATAGCGAGTTGCTGATGCTTTAAGCCCCATACTCACACTTCGCTACTTCACTTCCTTCGTCGCGTCCCTTCGTCCAAAAATCTTATATTTACTATGGGAAATATCGATTTTATGTGACTGTGTGTTCCTTCGTTCCTTCGTCAAAACGCTCCTTCGTCCGTTTACTTCCTCGAAACGCTCCTTCCCCGTACTGTCGGTTTTTGGACGAAGTAGCAAAGGAATTATCACGAACACAAAAAAATATTAAAATATATAAATCGATCTTGGATTTCATTCGTAGTTGATTTCCTGATTTGGCAGTACGTCTGTACAGGGTGTCCCACTTTCGTGTGTTTTGCAAGGTTTCTCGTTTATGAATCGAGATACAAAAATGCGGTTTTCACATTACGATGTTACTTTTTTATAAAACTAAAGATGCGATATATAGATATATGTCCTAGCTCTCTTACTTCCTAAAATACAGGGCGAATCTGAAATTATTGCAGTTTTCGATCCCTTTTGTATCATAACTTATCGAAAAGATGAAAACGGTGTCCCGTACAGTTTTTCACGTAGAATGCAGTGACGTAACTAGTTCTTCGTTGGAATCTGTCTTTTTTAAATATGACTAAAACTTATATGTTTTTTTTAAATGCGATACTTTTTATATTATTTTATTTTCCTTGTTACGGGCTTTCTAAAATACTTATTTTCATAAACGAGGTAAAAATGCATTATTTAACTTTATTACATAGTCGGCCGGTTTAAATTAGATAATCAAAACAATCAACTAATTTATTCGCCGTAAAATGTTGGTTATTGGCCTGTCATTTAAAAGCAGCACAAGTTCAGTTTCCGTGTAGTTTATCAAAATATCACGAAGCAAAATTAAGTTATAAGATAATCGAGATACAAAGGTTATCAAAAAATGCAAAAATTTTTACTAATCAAAAAATAAAAAGTATAAAAGAAAGAAATAAGAAATAAATTTGAACTAAGAAGGCTAGGATAAATCTGTGTGTAGCATATTTAGTTTCATAATAAGTAGAACAATGATGTGAAAACGGCATCTTTATATCTCTACTCATAAACCAGAAACCCCATAAAACACATAAAAATGGGACACCCTGTACATCTAGCAATCGCCGATATAAAAATAGATTCATACACACTGTCGGTTTTTGGACGAAGTAGCAAAGGAATTATCACGAACACAAAAAAAATATTAAAATATATAAAATATATAGATCGATCTTGGATTTCATTCGTAGTTGATTTCTTGATTTGGCAGTACGTCTGTACAGGGTGTCCCACTTTCGTGTGTTTTGCAGGGTTTCTCGTTAATGAATCGAGATACAAAAATGCGGTTTTCACATTACGATGTTACTTTTTTATAAAACTAAAGATGCTACATATAGATATATGTCCTAGCTCTCTTACTTCCTAAAATACAGGGCGAATCTGAAATTATTGCAGTTTTCGATCCCTTTTGTATCATAACTTATCGAAAAGATGAAAACGGTGTCCCGTACAGTTTTTCACGTAGAATACAGTGACGTAACTAGTTCTTCGTTGGAATCTGTCTTTTTTAAATATGACTAAAACTTATATGTTTTTTTAAATGCGATATTTTTTATATTATTTTATTTTCCTTGTTACGGGCTTTCTAAAATACTTATTTTCATAAACGAGGTAAAAATGCATTATTTAACTTTATTACATAGTCGGCCGGTTTAAATTAGGTAGGTAATCAAAACAATCAACTAATATTTTATAAAGGTTATCAAAAAATGCAAAAATTTTTACTAATTAAAAAATAAAAAGTATAAAAGAAAGAAATAAGAAATAAATTTGAACTAAGAAGGCTAGGATAAATCTGTGTGTAGCATATTTAGTTTCATAATAAGTAGAACAATGATGTGAAAACGGCATTTTTATATCTCTACTCATAAACCAGAAACCCCATAAATCACATAAAAATGGGACACCCTGTACATCTAGCAATCGCCGATATAAAAATAGATTCATACACAATAATCTTAAAATGGAAGGAAAAGACAATATTGTCTTCATATTTGTGAAGAAATACATGTCCATATTTATGTAATCGTAGCGACAAAAATATAAAAATAGAAATAGTGTGCATGATGCCTTTACAAAAATATCTGAAGAAATGGGGATTGACATCAACGTTTAATTAGTATGTCATATTTCATAGTTTCGATATAAATGACATAATAAATTTTACTCTATTATTGACTCGCCTTGTACATTCATACTGATATACCTTGTACATGATACTGAAATATTCGGATTTATTAAAAAAATATATTATTATTAAAATTCAATTTTTATTTTTGACACATGAGGAAGATGCATATATTTTATTTTTCGCCAGAAACTGTTCAATTTATTAGAATAAATATGTATAAATGCAAAAAAAAAATTTTTTCTTGAAAGCAGTACCACAATTTTATAAAACGAGCCATTAAAATACTATGGATAACGCAAACGACGCCTCGCGAATTGAAACGATATTCTATTGGCCTGACGTCACCCGCCGTTCTCGTCGACGCGCGATGGCCAGCAGCAGCCAGACGTGTTCCGTTTATGTACGTATTTAGGTGGTGTACTAAGACATTTTTGTTGCTTTTAGCGTCAATTGAAGGAGCTTATTATGCTTTTTTGTGCAGTTATTATTTGTATGTGTTGTGTGTTCTGAGAATTTTTTAAGTAATGGCAGATTCCGGGTTTGTAAAAGCACAATCAGATAACTTGCCAAAAGTCGATGCTTTTATGTTGGCTGCTTTTATAAATACAAATTCCCAATTTATTGGTGTTGAATTACGAAGAAAAAAACAGAGAGGTATATAACATTTATTTTTAATAGTTTAGTATAAGTAGGTACCTACTGTTACGAACTTTTATATAGTTATAAATTAATGTTATAAACTTATTTTTCAGATCAGGTAGGGAGACGTATGGAGATAATGCTGTAGGTTATGTAGAAGTGAAAAGAGACAAAAATATTTGTTTAGTAAGTGGAAAAATAACTCCAGAGCATAGCGTGAAAAAGAAAGTTTTTTTTTTATATATATTAATTGACACCCCCTTACCCTTGTTATTTTTAAAGATTGTTTTTTTACGAAATTATAGGAAATAAATTGTTTATCAGAAATGAAAATATTATACAAGGTGTCCCATAAGCAAACGCCAAAATTAAGATACTTTTTTAAGTGAAACACCCTATATATTTTTGGATTCTTCGCAAATTTCTAGATATTCTAGATATATTTCATGTATAATTCCTATACCTATCTTCAAATGTTTACGAAATATTGACAGTTGAAAAGCGAAAAATACCTACAATTTTCTGGACCACCTTTTTTGAGACACCCTGTATAACTAGAATTAATTTTAAAAGAGGTATATGAAAAACCATGCAACTTTTTTATTTAATGTTTTCTTCTAAAACTTGCAGTTAAGGCTGTATGTGGGTGTCAAAATATAATGAATAACCCTGTACACATTCAAATTTCATATACCTATGTAAGACAATATACATAAATATATGAACTTACATCAAAATGATCTTCACAACAATAAATCGTAAAAATAAAGGATAATTTAACGTTTTTCTTTTCATCTCTTCTCATGGCCTTGGACCATTTTTTTCTGTTTTTGTTCATCCATTACTATTTATAAATATCACTAATTACTCTAATTATGTATTAATTAACACAAACAACTAAAATTTTGACTCGGATTCAACAGCGTTTAAAAGCAAACTGTGTAAAATAAACACGCGTCTGGCTCCACTCAACCAGAAGAACGGCGGGTGACGTCACAGCGGCAAGGCGCGGTAGAGAGCGTTTGCCCCGCCATTTAAATTAACAATATTTAATTATTTTATATTAGAGGCATTTCTTAGCCGATATCAACGATTTTTTTTTGTTCAATTTGTAATTATATGAACTATTTTTTAAAACCATTATTTAAAAACATGCATTTTCCTCGTTGCAGTTTTATAAATTAAAAATTATACGCTTTTCGATTTTTTTAAAAATTTTAGAGGTTACTAGATATTTCGTAATAAACATGAAGCTGCTATATTAAAAATATTTTCTGGTGTGTTGTTGCATAATCGACTAATTTCCAAGCATCGAATGGACAAAGGAACGAAGGGAAGGGACGAAGAAGCAAAGTGTGAGTATGGGGCTTAAGTGATGAAGAGTTCAGGAAAAAATGAATAAATCTCGAAAAAAAAACAAGGAACTCGCTTAAATCAATAATATAGGAACGTACTTAAAATTTTCTTTCTTACTTAAAATATGAAATGATCTCAGACACACCCTAAAATTCATTTTTTTGACAAATAACGATGACGTAATGGTGAACGATGGCTGAACAGTCTTTAAGTGATCTGTATTAAATATTAAGTAATCTATTGTCAACTTATAAAAACAAACCTTACACAAATAGGAACTAAAAATATATCAGAATAATTTTAGACACATAGACCAAATTCATCGTCCCAAGAAATCGAAAATAATACAAAAAATACTATAAAATATCTCCTCTTCTGTCAAATAAAAAAAGTCCTTTTATCCTTGAAGATTTTTTACAAATAACATTTACATTTTTTTTTTTTTTTGATAAATATGATAAATGTGAAATATATAAAAACATATAATATTTCAAATTCATATTTCATTATACTGATTATTTTTTGTATATTTCTTTTGCGCTAATTAATTTATTAAAAAGTCCGAAATCCTAAACTAATATCACTAAAAATTATTGGCAACTTATTGTTATTATAACTTATTCATTTCTTAAGCATTACATGCCAATTTTACGTATACCTTCTTGGAAAGTGATACCGGTTTGGTTTGTGTGAGAGTGTATAATTATTGTCAAGCTATTTAGTGAGTGTTGCGTGCCACTTAGAGCCCTTTGTTGAAGTAGATTCGTTCGGGAATATCGTCGCCGCAGTTTTTCTTAATTTTCTCGTACGCCTCTGGTTCGATCCAAGCCAGTGTTGTCAGTTTCATGGAACTGTTTATTAAATGAGGAATAATTGTAATAGTATATCACAAAAAATAGTCCTATTTTCAACAGTAGATACCCAGAAAAAGCAGTCCAATAGCGACAAACATTAGAATTATCGCTTGTACAGGGTGACCCAGAAGTAAATGCAAGTATTTTAAAAGGTTGTAGAATCTGGCCTATGGAGGGTAGAGGTAAGGAGAAATATTTTCGTGCATTAAAAATGGTCATAAAAAGGGAAGACTTCAGATGGCGCTGCTGTAGCAAAAACCTAAAATTTAAAATATGCGCCGAAAATGTTTACAACAGGAAATGATTCAAAAGAGATAAATATTTGACGAGAAGGCGCGGGTTTCAAAAAATACAAATTTTATTTTCAAGCCACATGAAATAAATTATCGATTTTTATTCAGCAGCAATAGACTGGGCCTCTAATATATAAAAATAATTGTTTTATATTCTAAAAAATAAAAACAAAGCTTTTTGGGTAATGTTAGTTTTATTCTCTTATCTATGGTTACTTTTCATTTTTTAGATTTATGCGTCATTAGCGCCACTGTGGACATTTGATGAACCCTTAAGGTTGATTCTCACTATACCTTCCGTCTCAGCTACCTTGCGTTTCCCTTCCGTTTAGATAAAATATTATATCATGTAAATGAATAGGACAACGCACACTATCCGTTCCGTTTCCCTTCCGTTCCATATCCTTTCCTTCCATACATTTTTTAGCGGATGGACTGAAGCGTATCGGAAACAACGTTGTCAAGTTCTTACATTTGTACCAGCTCTGCTAACATTTTGCTGATATTTATTTATTCTTTCACCTCTTAATTAAATCTATTACCTTTTTCAAAAGATACAAATTTTTAAAATAAAACTTTCGTAATGTAATAAATTGTACAGTAAAAGTATGGAACTGATACGGAACGGAAGCTTACGTATAGCGTCAATACAATAAAAAATACGGAACGGATATGGAATGGAAACGGAAGGTATAGTCTATAAAATGAATAACTTTGAATTTTGACCGTTATTTTTTACCAACATGGCAAATATAAAATCCCTCTATCAAAAAAGTTACTGATATTCTTTAAATTGAGTGCCTGAACGAATCAGATAGGTAACTCTTTTTACTTTCGTGAAATAGAAAAGAAAAATAATAAAACAAGTGACAGTTCTTCCTCTTCTTGCAAAAATCAACACAAAATGTCATAATTCTCAAAAGTAAAATGTCATCAGCTTTTGACATTTCTAAATATCAGACCAATGCCGTCTCTAATAGAACAGCCTCGGAGCGAGATTTATGACGTCACGCTAGTTAGATACTACGGATTAATAAATATGTTGTAGAATACATGGAAAACATAATTATTCCTCGTATTTTTGGTTTGTATTTTTAAAATGATATAGTTTACATGAAATATACGTAATATACAGTTAATAAATACAATATATATATATACCTATTTATAGTAATAAATATATATAATATATATAACCATCAAATATAGCAATATACAAATAATATATATACATAAGATATATGGGTATAAATCGGTATATATATATATATATATATAACTATGTTTTTCATAAAATTTCAGGAGAGCAAACTTAAAGATATATATAGTTTTCTATAAATGTTCTATATAAATTTTTTCTAAAGTCATATATATTGTATTTAATCCCTGAAAATTTTACAGTTTTTCATAAAAATGATATCATTTTTAAAAACAAACCAAAAATACGAGGAATAATTATGTTTTCCACGTATTTTAAAACATATTTATCAATCCGTAGTATCTAACTAGTGTGACGTCAAAAATCTCGCTCCGAGGCTGTTCTACTAGAGACGGCACTGCGTCAGCATGGCCGCAAGTTGCTAATAAAATTATCACTACAAAAGCCCGCGGAAACTGTCAAATTCAAAGTTATTCGTTTCACAGACTATATAGTGAGAATCAACCTTTATTCTTCCGATTTTTGTGACCACTTTTTCAAATAAAGTCCCATAAGAGATATTTCTCCTCATCTCTACACTCCATAATCTGGCCAAAAGAAACATATTTTCTCTTTAACATTTTTAAAATAAATGGATAATAACCAATACTCTAAGAGCTACCAACGTTTTCGAGAAAGTATTTTAAGACGTCTGGCTCTTTGATATATCTTTTACTATGCTCTCTGGAACAGCATGCGGCCCGTCTGGCTGCCGATACCCGTTACGTTCACTACTGCACATCGGAAGAAGATCCTATTTTTTTTATTAACTTAGTCCTATAAATTCTAGTATTGAATATAAATCAAACATGTCTCCATAGCGCAGTGCGTAGAGTTTCTGACCACGAACAGGTGATTCAGAGTTCGAATCCGGGTCAGGTCAAAGACTTTTTTATTCTATTTTCGTTTATATTCTCATAGTAAAGTATTAAATAATTCTGGTAATTAAAAAAAAGATTTAATACTTTACTCTCAGAATATAAACGAAAAAAAAAATAAAAAAGTCTTTACCCTGACGCGGATTCGAACTCTGATCGGTTCGTGGTCGGAAACTCTACGCACTGCGCTATGGAGACATGTTCGATTTATATTCAATACTAGAATTTAAAGGACTAATAAAAATATAGGATCTTCTTTCACTGCGCAGTAAAGGTCGATTTATAAATTGAAAACGGTGCGGTTCGACGTTGCGGTTGCGATTATTTCTATTGGCTATTACTAACGTTTCAAGGTCAACGTTCCTGTCGAAGTTAAAAATTGGTTAATTTTTGACGTAAAACGTCAACCGCAACAACAACCGAAAAATTTATAATCAACAAAACATCCTGCGTATAAACAAACTTTTTACCGACCGTAACGTCGGGCGTCGAACCGCAACGTTTTCAGTTTATAAATCGACCTTAAGAAACGCAACGTTTACCGGGAGCCAGATGGGCCTCATGCTGTTCTAGAAAGCATAGTAAAAGATATATCAAAGAGCCAGACGTCTTAAAATACTTGTTTTTCCGACGTTGCTAGCTCTCGTACTACGTACTACTAAGTTATTTAACTTTAAAAATTATAAAAAATAATGGCTACATTTTGAGGCAGCAATCGATAATCCGCCGCAAATACCAAGCAATTACCAGAATCTCAGCTTATTCGGCGCCCAGTGTTGACACGTCGCGCGTCGACTAGAAAGATTTAAAAACGACTTGGAAAGTTCAGAATGTGAAAGTGAAAAACTTACCTAACATTAGAAAACGGGACTCCAATAGATAGCAGATCGATGTAGTTAGGTTAGAGCCTTGTTTTATCGCTTTACCTAAAACCGCAGCTCTACATTTAACAACACTTAATTTCACTGCGATTCATGCCAGCACTACACTTACATAGTATGTGTATTTGGCACAAAATAGATTCATATACCACCTGAATTATTTAGAATTATTTTTTGAGAATTTAAACTTCTCTGTTTTTTTTTTTATCTCACACTCTTACTTTTGTTAATAAACACCAAAATAATTGATATTTCTATTTGAACAATAAAAGTATTTTTACAAACTTACCTTACATTTGCCTACTTTTTTTAGTTTTGTCTGAGGTTTACAATACAAATATAATAGACGTTGCACTATATTTAATAGTAATGTACAATGAGTAAAAATCTACAATGAATAAAATTAATTTAAGTACTTTTTTGGAGAAATTTAAAAATGTGAACTTAAAAACTTATAAACATACGGAATGTGGATAACGTAGGAGGTGGCAACATTGTATTCTCTCGAACCACCATAAACAAATTTCCGAAAGCTGAATAAGCGGCACTCCGGAAAATGTCAAGAAAAATATAAAATTTTCAACATTTTTTGCAAAAAAAACTTATGAGCGTGTTTCTGGGGTTGAACTATACTACCAGTTAAAATACTAGTACTTATTTCTGGGACACCCTGTATACCGGGCGATATCAATTAAACTTTTAGTTGCGTAATCGAGGGCGCGATTTTTAACTGTGTGTCGTGAGCCACTTTTGAGACGCACCCGGTGTATCTTTTTCAATGTTGCGATATTGAAAAATAAAGGATCAGCATTAAAAAAGAAATACTTACCATCTCTGAGGAAACAAGCCACACGCTACTGGTACCATAAAGGATAAGCTGAAATACAATTTAATGCTGTTAGAGAGCAATCTGATAAACTTTAACCGTTTTATATTCTAACAGAATAGATATTTTAAAAAAGATTTGTATTTTTAAAATTTTGAATGTTCTCTTTTGAGAAACTTCAAGTAAAGTCACAAACGGTAGTGAACATTAGCAAATTAGCAAAACTGAAATGTGTGTCTTGGGAACGGGAATCTAACAAAATTACATAAAAACATAAATACTTACAAGCAACCAACTGCCATAACTTGAATAGGCCCATGTAAATAAGTAATTTTCTTCATGAACGGAAACTTCTCAGCTCTCTCCATGATTACAGGCAGTATCAACATACCAGGAGCGCACATAGTTATACGCGATATAATAACCTAAAAAAATATATCTTCCTATGCAAATTCTTAGAAAAAAATACATTTCTTTTCATAATAATAGCCTCACAAATACTGTATTTACACTTGATTTACTAAGGTCATACTACACTACCTCCTATACTATAGTCTATCCAAAGAGAGAACAGATGACAGTGACAGTTATGTCTGTCATTTTAATTGAGAGCTAAACTACGTTTTCTGTCATTTTTTGGATCTCATCTGTTAAAATCTTCCTTGGTAACTTGGACAGACTTTATTTTATTTTATTGAAACTCTTACCTGTGAAAAAGCTTTAGCTGCCGCAACTTTTGATTGGCCAACAATGCGCCCTTTATCGTCTGAACAATCGATTCCGTGAAGAAACTCGTTTTGTCTCATTAGAGGAATATTAACACAGTTAGCAGCTGCTACTGCAGCGAATGGAACATACCTCTAAAATAAAAATTAATATATACAATTAGCAATTAAATTGATATAGGCTTCTTTTAATAAGAAAATCACCCTGTATATTGTAACATATGGTCTGTTTGAGATACTTAGACGCCAAGATTTACCTGAATAAATGGACTAGCCCTTTTCTGCCAATAGTATTTACATCCTAAAGCAGTGACCATGGCTGACGAGGTTGCAGAAACATAGGCAACCACTAACTGCGTGGTGGTGGTTGGAGATTTCGCGTTACGATTGGTGTAGTTAACTAAAGCGTTGAAGGACTGATTCACCCATTGCCAGAAGACAACTGCAAACGGTGTTCTGCAAATAAGATTAAAATGATCATTTTTAATATTACATCTTGTAGCCTATGTGAATAAGTAAATTCACTTCATTCTTCAAATTCTATTATGTATGCAACATAAATTGATCAAAAAATCTCTTTATAAAATATTTAAATTATGAAAAACACCAAAACCATACACAGCTTATTCAAATATTAACATTTCTATATCAAACATATAACATACTTATATTTTTTTGATAAAGTACCATACAATCGAAAAAAATAGTGTCAGAGATAGCTTGGAAATTAAGAACGCAGTAATTTTTATCTAAAATTATACGGGAATTTCTAAGCCAACTGGACGCCGTTTTTTTTTCAATACAAAGGGGTACAAGAAGAATGTCAGATGCCAACCGAAAATGTTCCCACTAATTGGCATCACTGTATACAATAAAAAACCTTAGATCTTATCCAAAACTCATTAATTCATTCAAATTAATTAAATTTTTTAAGAGCAAGAAGAGCAAGAGAAAATTGAGCACTGGTGATAATCAGAAATATGATCCAAAAAAAACGGCGTCAGCGATGCCTATGAAATGAATATCAGTATCAAAAGGTATCAATTTATATGGAGAATGTCATTGATTGTCATTTCCAAGCCAACTGGACGCAGTATTTTTTACAATCATAAGGTGCCTTTTTGATTATTTTTATAGTGCATTTCTGATCTAATATAAAAAATACATAATTACCTGTACCACTGTAACATAGCTCCAGTAATAGCCATACCACCGGGCACCTGAAACGACATTCGTCCAAACACATTCTGTTTCTCTCCGCTGTCTGGATGAAAAGCACTTTCGTACAACTTTTTCGCATAGATAACCTGTTCCAGACTAGTACCAGGAGGTTCAGTACCTTTGCGGTACTGTTCCACCAGCAATTTTGCATTATCTAAAGCCTCATCGCCTAAAAATAATAAATATATTAATCAAAATGGTTGCTTTTATTTTTATTTAAATAGGAAACAGCTTTTACTTACCGACAACACAAGTTCTTGGATCTGTTACCCACAAAAAATGCTTGAATCTACCCACAAAGGTGCTTTGATCCCAAAGGGGAGCATCTATGTTCAATCTTTCAGGCATATTGTAATTTCCTCTAAAAAATATATTTAGGTTACATTAAAGGTAATTTATTAAAGCTATAATCAAAGAAGGCGTTAAAATTCCACCCAAGATTATAAAATAAATCAAAAACGCTATTTTACCTACCAGCTATGCGTTACCACTCGTAATTGTATAATAAAAACAAGAAATTTAATACAAAATCAAAGTCTAAAGTGCTGAATTCCCATAAAAAAGATTGGAGATAGTACAATAACACACTCACCAGTACAGTATCAAAATAAATTATGTTTTTGTTTACAAGTTTCTGGCTTTTTGTCGGAAAAAACAAAAATTTTTAAAATGTATCAGCTGTGTCCCCACCTCCACAGCCTCTTTACAGTGTTGTCGATTGTTTGAAAAATTCCTGAAATCAATTCCAATCAAAAAAATGCTGGTGGTCTAAAACACTTTTTATGCATCTAGTTAGAAGTTTATTAATAACAATGTTTTAGTTATTCTTTTATAAGCAGTATACATAGTCAAAATTGGTTTTATCTTAAATAATTAACATATTAATTCTTCAATGGATAAGAATAAACTCTCTCCAATGTATGAACATCTTGGCAACCTAGCAATTCAAATTTTATCATGTGCACTTTTTGAAAGTGACTGGTCATGTACCTTTGCCAAAAATAAAATGTTATTAGGCATTTGCACTGGAATTTGAACACTATCTGGATGGTCATTTGTTCTTGCTGACGATATCAACACCTGGTTTATTTTCACATGACTTTTTTGATCTTGGTTTTAAGGAAAAGGCAAAATAAAAAAATGTACCTTTCATAATTTTTATTTGAAAATTTATAAATAAATGTTATCTCTATCTATTAAGAAAAATCTCTATGAGAAAAATAATAAAAAACAGATTATACAATATCATTTCAAAATATAATACATGAATGTACAAAAAATGTACTACAGGGTGTCCCAAGCTGAGCGTTTATTAGAAGTTTTGAAGATTTTTGCACATCATTGATTCGCAATTCAATATGGCAGTACTTCCGGAAGTGCCGGAAGTTGACGACAAATTTCTTATTTTAAAAGGGTACTCCCAATTTTTTATTACATACTTAATTTATCTGTAAGATTTTATGAATTAAACACTCTATACCAAACATTAACCGTTTTTGTGAAATAAAAAAATATTTAAAATTATTGGATAAAAAAACTGCCTGTCAAAAAAATGTATATAGCCTAAACGTCAAATTTTTAAAACTTAATCTTAAATAACTTAAAAACGATTTATTTTAGGTATAGGAACATACACAGTATAGACAAAAAGTAACGAATTGAAAAACCTTTACACTAATGAAACAAAAAAGTGGGTTTCCATTTGAAAAAAATGACTTATAATAATTTTTTAATAGCTTAATTCCATGACAGGTACCGCCATTATTATATGACATTCAAACAATTTAATTTTTGAAATAGATAGCCACATGTATCTTAAATAACTTAAAAACGATTTATTTTAGGTATAGGAACATACACAGTATAGACAAAAAGTAACGAATTGAAAAACCTTTACACTAATGAAATAAAAAAGTGGGTTTCCATTTGAAAAAAATTACTTATAATAATTTTTTAATAGCTTAATTCCATGACAGGTACCGCCATTATTATATGACATTCAAACAATTTAATTTTTGAAATAGATAGCCACATGTCTTCTCTTTATGTCACATTGAGGGGGCAATCACTAAATTTGACGTTTAGGCTATACAAATTTTTTTGACAGGCAGTTTTTTTCGTCCAAATATTTTAAATATTTTTTTCTCAAAAACGGTTAATGCCAGGTATAGAGTGTTTAATATCAAAATTCATAAAATTTCAGAGAATTTAAGTATGTAATTAAAAATGGGTGTACCCTTTTAAAATAAGAAAGTTGCTGTCAAATTTCGGTATTTCCGGAAGAGCCGTCAAATTGAAAATCATTTTACTGAATAGATCTCGTTGTGAAACAATACTGTGCAAAAATCTCAGGCCTAGATATTGTAGTTTTTTAGAAACTTCTAATTCACGCTCAGTCTGGGACACCCTGTATATCTATGTCAAAAAACAATGTTATAAATTATTTTATAATTAATTACTACTTGTTTGGATCAAATCATTTATCGGTTTTTTTAAGCAAATAATATGCTGTTTGTTTAAATTATTTTAAATAATATTAATACCATACAATTGAAAAAGACGCCTAAGGAATGACGATGATAATTTTGGCAAGGTCAAGCGCTAGACCTCATTACATGACCGTTAGTATTCGTTTAGCCGTTAGCTTTAAGAAGATTGTAGTTTATTTTTATATCGATCATTTCTAAATGGTGTAGTTTAAAATCGAGAAAAAATAATTTTTTAGAAAGAGATTGATCTCGGCAAAATTACGTTCGATTGTTATTCCCCAGCCATCTTTGACGCCGTTTTTTTTTTCGATCATACGGTACTACTAGCTTATCGTACTCGTATTTGGTGTATAGTATTGTAATAAGCGAGTTATATAAAAGATTCAAAAAATACCGTACAATAAAAAAAACGACGTCAAGTTGGCTTAGAAATTACTGTCATTGACATTCCCGCCGTTTTCTTTTCAAGTTAAAATTAATAAATCCTCAAAAATTAGAGTTGTCTTTGTATGCTTAAGTTTGCTAATAAAAATAATTTGTCAAGAAAAAAAAATTAGAGCTTAGCATATTATTTATAACGTATTTTACAACAAATAATTGTTTTTAACATTAAAAATATTTGTTACTAATAAAAAACATACTATTATCCCTGAAATACTTTTGTTTTGAAATACCTTGACATTATTTTAAGTCAAATCAAAGCCAACTATTAATTTTAACCATTTTTCATACCTTCTTGCCAGATCTATTTGCAACAAACTTTGCCCAGTGTTTTTACTGATAAATTCTTTCTCACAATTACTCAACACCCTGTATAAATTCGAGGACTCAAACTTACTGGGCTGGGTTTTAAATATTTTTGCTTGTTTTTCACCAGAATTATCGTTAACAACAAAATTTATAAAATTCTTATTATACATTTGTGATGTAGTATTATTAAAAGTGATTTTTTTGGTTATTTTTGAGTTTTCTCCAAAATATTCATTTGCCAATTGAATTAAACTAAATAAAATGAATCTTCTATGCAACCAAAGAGACTCATGCTCTGTATATACATTGTTAATGTTTTCTATAACAACAAACAGTTCATATAACAGCAAAACTATAACATTTATATGCTTGGATATGTCTTCCAATGATTTATTTTTCAAAGGTTTTCCAAGCAAAAGAATCAATAACTGACTGGGCTCACCATCGTTTAAAAGATTTAATTTTGTAATTACTTCATTAAAGTACGTCATCAGAAGTGGGATATCTCTTTGGTTTTTTAGAAGTTTTATTAAAAATTGTCTGTAATGATACCCAGTGTTCTCAGAGACATGTTCACTGATCCATCTCTCGCTAAACTCTAGTTCCTGGGTAAGGATATGGGGAAAAAAAGGTACAAAGTGTTCCATACACCATATTCGATGTGTCCAGGCATGGTAATTGTTTTGGGAACCTGTCGCAGCTAGCTCTGATACAGATAACTCATTCTGTAGAATGTTTATTGAAGGAACAATACCGTTTTTGGACATTTTTTCAAGAATCCTTTTCAGTAGCCAGCGACGATAGGAGAAGGCTTCATTTGACTTGTGCTTTCTTGTCAAAACCAATTTGCTTAAAAGTAAATATTAATACAATATAAATATAAGATAGAATAATTATATATTTACCAAAACTTCAGTTCTTCTTCAATACTTAATATGTCACTTTCTACCAACTCCCTTCTCATATTCCAAAAGGTATTAATATCAGGGTTAATAAGTAACCCTCCCATAAGCAAATAGTTCAAATTGTCCCTGATCAAGTATCCGATTTTCTTCTCGGCAAGATTTTTTCGAACTTTAAATAGCTCACTGCAAACATACTGATATACGTATTTGATGCACCAAGATTCGAGTCCCAAATGATGACTCTCGTACAATACAGGGCTTTTATTCTTGGTGTTGTCTTCTGTAGGAACAATAGAAAAATCCGCTCTAAAAGAAAGTTTGATGGTAAATTAGGTTAAGTAGGCAAAAGATGAAATTCTAAAATAACTTACAGCTCGAAGTCGTGTTTGATAATGTTTTCTAGTGACCGCAGAATTCTTTCTGACATAGAAGAGTATTCCATTATTTTTTTAAAAATATATGTTTCGCATTTCATGAAAGTTTAAAATTATTTTTCAAGATTTTTTGTTTTTCAAGTTTCCATGACGTAAAACAGCTGTTTATTACCGACATTATATTACAGATTTCTTCTTACAATTTCAACCAAACTTTTAAATATTTCCCAACTAAAAGCAAAATTTTTAGTGTTCTTCTTTATATAGATAAAAACATTTGGATTTGGATGGTTTTGATTTGATCTTGAATTTGGTTATTTTACCTTATAAAAAATAAAATTTTAAAATTCATATTAAAAAGAAATCTGCACCAGTATTTTGAAAAAAAGGATCTACAAGTTGGGAGTTTAGGTTAGTGCCGCTAGAGGTCGCAAGAAAAGTTTAGAAAGGCGTTGCCCACCAATTTTGAAAATATAAAATATTATCATCCAAGCAAAATAGAAATAAACCAAAAAAACTAGACAGTTTATTAATGTTATATACCAGAAATTAATTTATTTGTTTTATTTATATAAAATTGCAGGAAATAGAGTTGTCTCTCCCTGAGACTCCCTTAAAATTACCAACATTTCAGATCGATGCCGATGTAAGACATATCCTAAAAGAATATAAAGTTTTACCAAGGGTTTTACATACAACAAAAGCATAGTTTCAGTTTTTTCAGACATAAAATGATAAATTAAAAAGCATTTTAAAAGAAATTCTGGCCATTTGCATTAAATATTACGCTTTTGTTACAAAACAAATTAACAAATTACTAAAATATTTATATAAACTTTTATTGGATTTCTATTTTGTTTCGATAACCTCATATCATTACGCAGATAACTTATGATATTTGCAGTAGAATTTATTTCCAAATTTCTATAACAAAACAAGTATTCATTTTCGAATATGTCATACAAAATAATAAATTTTATTGCTTTTATTTTTTATACCTTCTTATTTTTTAATATTCTACACAAAGTAAAAGCTTATGATGTACCTGAACCAGAAATAAAAGTGTATTCTAATGGGTTCACTGTGTCGGTTCCTGATGAGGATGGTATCAGTCTATTTGCGTTTCACGGTAATATAAACAGACCTATGCAACATTTGGAGGCTGGACAATTTTCCCAAGACATTTTGAGAAAAAAAGGTGACCGATGGGTTTTTAAAAACGCTGATACGAAGCTTAAAGTTGGTGATAAAATTTATTATTGGTTGTATGTTCTTAGGGATGGATTGGGTCATAGATATGACCATGGAGAATTTACCGTTAAGGGTAAGTGCTTAATAAAACAAAAAGATTAAACACAACTTTGTTCGATTATAATACAAAACACAGCATGTTCTATTTAAAACAGTGGAGAAAAATACAGGATTTAGTTTTGACTCGCCCTGTATGGGGGTTCATGATGTACAGGGTGGCGCCTCTCAATAAACGACGCTTATGCTCCAGGGAGAACGATAGTTTGTATTGAAATAAAATTTCAAAATAGGTTAATTCAGAGCACTTTTTAAAAATATAGAGAGTTCTACAGAGTATCCCAAAAAAAGTTACACAGCAAAGTTGTGTTTTTTTTGTAAAGAAACACCCTATATATTAATTGATTTTCGGATTCTAGGAGAAAAAAAAAGCGAGTTTTGTTAAAGTATATGACTAAAATGTAAGGTTTTTGGCTTATTAAACATTTTCTAAAAATGAAGCATAATTTTTAAATTTCAATAAAAGCTACCTAAATTGGAATCCTAACATGTAGTTAAAATAACTATTGTACTTTAATTCAAATTAAAAATTGACCCAAAAAGTCATACAGAGTGAGACAAAATTAATATTGAACATTAGTTCAAAGTTTTATGGAAAGCACTGGGCATTAAAATGTTGTATCCTATGTTATAGGGCTTGTTTCTCTCTACAATTTCCTGTCTCACAATGTACCGTTTGTATCCGGGAAGGGTTCATAGTTTCATAGTTGTCGATTTTCGAAAGAAATCAGTACATGTATATTATTTCGTATATTTTTCATTTTATTGATTTTATGGAAAGCACTGTTCATTAAAATGATGTATCCTATGTTATAGGGCTTGTTTCTCTCTACAATTTCCTGTCTCACAATGTACCGTTTGTGTCCGGGAAGGGTTCATAGTTTCATAGTTGTCGATTTTCAAAAGAAATCAGTACATGTATATTATTTCGTATATTTTTCATTTTATTGATTTTATGGAAAGCACTGTTCATTAAAATGATGTATCCTATGTTATAGGGCTTGTTTCTCTCTACAATTTCCTGTCTCACAATGTACCGTTTGTGTCCGGGAAGGGTTCATAGTTTCATAGTTGTCGATTTTCGAAAGAAATCAGTACATGTATATTATTTCGTATATTTTTCATTTTATTGATTTTATGGAAAGCACTGTTCATTAAAATGTTGTATCCTATGTTATAGGGCTTGTTTCTCTCTACAATTTCCTGTCTCACAATGTACCGTTTGTGTCCGGGAAGGGTTCATAGTTTCATAGTTGTCGATTTTCGAAAGAAATCAGTACATGTATATTATTTCGTATATTTTTCATTTTATTGATTTTATGGAAAGCACTGTTCATTAAAATGATGTATCCTATGTTATAGGGCTTGTTTCTCTCTACAATTTCCTGTCTCACAAGGTACCGTTTGTGTCCGGGAAGGGTTCATAGTTTCATAGTTGTTGATTTTCGAAAGAAATCAGTACATGTATATTATTTCGTATATTTTTCATTTTATTGATTTTATGGAAAGCACTGTTCATTAAAATGTTGTATCCTATGTTATAGGGCTTGTTTCTCTCTACAATTTCATGTCTCACAATGTACCGTTTGTGTCCGGGAAGGGTTCATAGTTTCGTAGTTGTCGATTTTCGAAAGAAATCAGTACATTTATATTATTTCGTATATTTTTCATTTTATTGATTTTATGGAAAGCACTGTTCATTAAAATGTTGTATCCTAAGTTATAGGGCTTGTTTCTCTCTACAATTTCCTGTCTCACAATGTACCGTTTGTGTCCGGGAAGGGTTCATAATTTCATAGTTGTCGATTTTCGAAAGAAATCAGTACATGTATATTATATCGTATATTTTTCATTTTATTGATTTTATGGAAAGCACTGTTCAGTAAAATGTTTTATCCTATGTTATAGGGCGGCTTGTTTCTCTCTACAATTTCTTGTCTCACAATGTACCGTTTGTGTCCGGGAAGGGTTCATAGTTTCATAGTTGTCGATTTTCGAAATAAATCAGTACATGTATATTATTTATTCGTATAATTTACATTTTATTGATTTTATGGAAAGCACTGTTCATTAAAATGTTGTATCCTATGTTACGTTTTAGGCATATACTTCTTTAATAAAACTCACGTTTATTTTTTACCAAGAATCCGAAAATCGATTAATCTATAGAGTCGTGTTTCATTATAAAAAACATAACTTTAATGTGTAATTTTTTTGGGGATTTTCATTTCAATACAAGCTATCGTTCTCCTTGGAGCCTCCGTGTCGTATGAGATGCGCCACCCTGTATATTCCACCCCTCCTGCATGAATACATGAATAGCATTATACTCTTTTCTTAATATTTTTATTCAAAGATTCCATGGCAAAAGTCAAACTACACCAAAAAAATGTTCAATATGATGTAGGCTTTACCTGTGACAGTTGAAAAATAAATTTAAATAATTAATAAAATGTATTTAAGGCTATTAAAGTTAATTAATTTTTTACAAATTTCAGATATTCTTGAAGAAAATATACCAGAAAAAGAGTTTTCCAGAAATGTCACTTCTTCCAATAAAACAGACTCCTCAAAGTCCTCAAGTAACGTCAATTTGTGTCTGGAACAAATAAAAACCATTTCTCAAGTGAACGAAATTTTGTACATTCTGGCAAGTAAAGATCCGAGTGTTGCCAGGACCTTAAAACTATCAGGGGAAGATTCACAGAATGTCACTGCTAGAGAATTTGTAGTGGAGCTAATCACGAAAAATCTCGAGGTGACTGACGTTATAGTGATTGATGCTGAACGAGGATTCGATAACGTGATTACATTTACAGTAAAATCACTAGAAGACAAAGTTAAATTAATATTAGCTAGCCAGGAGAAACTGAAAGGGTCAAAGTATCAGTTTGTATGGTGATGTAACGGAGAAAACATTAAAAAAACTTTATTTATTTTTTGTCTTCTTTATTTAATGAGATGAAACTACGAGTTTATAGATACATATACAGGGTGGTCCGAACTGTATTGCGGAAACTTCGGCAGCATATTCTGCAGATAAAAATAAGTAAAAAAGTTCGGATAAATGTTTGTCTTAAAATGCTTAGTTTCGGAGATACAGTGTGCAGAAGTTTTTCATTTTTATTTCGAATTTATTCCAGAGTTTTTTGACATGAAAAATTTGACTGTTATCAATATGACTCCTACTTGTAGAACGCGTTAACTACATAATTTTTAACAGGTTTGAGGAGTAATAACTTTTTGTCCGTACCTGTATAAAACTACTGAGTAAAAAAACATATATTTACAACGTTTTCTACGCAAAAAAGGTCTCTATCAAAGTAAAAATCGCTATGAGTAATGGTTCTCGAGTAATTTTGAATCGAAATTATCAATACCTGTCATCATTGACATAAATTAAAAATGTTGACTAAATAATTATTAGTCTAAAATCATAAATTTGAAATGTTTTTATACCAAAAGTTCAACAGAAACTGTTTTATCATCATTTTTTCGAAGAAAATTTCACACCTCTACTTTTCAACCAATAACATGCTTTAATGTTGACTAGTTACCATGGCAACTGAAAAAATTTCCGGAAATTTTTTCGAGGCGCCACGAAACTTTAGTGGAAATTTTTTGACAGTTGAAAAGGTAAACATAAGATCTACAATCATAATGTGAATGAACTACAATGTCTATATATTGAAATATTACCCATTTGAGTTTTAGCATTTGATGTAACTAATTGTAATATAATAATATTTGTTAATATTATTAACAAATTGAAATTATTTTAAAATGTCATGTTGATTAATATTTTTTTTTTCAAATTTAGGTGTGAAATTTTTCACCGAATACCATAGCTTAGCTTATTCCTGAAATCTTCTGGGCACGAATATTTTAGGAAAATTATCCCTCGTCTTCGACTCGGGATAATTTTCAAAATATTCGTGCCCTCAAAAAAATTTCCGAAAATAATTTAAGCTCTTGTGATATTATAAGTGAAAAATTTATTATCAATTTAAAAAAAATCAAATTTCACTAATTATTTATCATTTCAGTCAAATAACTATCTTAACCTGTTTATTTTTTGTCAATAATAACATGTGTTGACTATTTGTATTATGGGTGTATTATGAGAACGGTTGCTCATAGCGATTTTTAACAAGAGATATTTTTTACGTAAAAAATCACAGAAATGTGTATTTTTTCACTCAGTAGTTTTATACACGTTTCGACGAAAAGTTATTACTCTTCAGAATAGTTAAAACTGTTGTAGTGATTCCCACGTTCCTACGTTGTAGTGATTCCCACGAGACCAACGAGACGAGACTTTCATAAATATAAAATTTATTTTATTTCATAACATTAAAAAAATCATATTTGTCATAGTAATACGTAAACACAACAGAAAAATCAAAAACTTAACATTAATTTTAAAAACAAGTAAAAACAATAATATAGGTACTAACAGCCTTATTCTCGATCGCAAACGTTTTTGTTTTTCACCCAGTCATTTAGGCATAACAAACATCGTGCAGATTCATTATGAAGGCAATTTCTGTGTTTTCTAATACACACACCGGAAAAGTCTAGGGATATTACAATTTTATCCAGCCATCGTCAGTAATTTTATTATTTGCATTTCTGATATAATAAAATTAAAATAAACAAATAGTTTACAGGACGTATTGGAAATAAAAATGCGAAATTTACCGAATTTTTCAAATTTATCTTGATTTTTATTGAATTCAAAAAAATACACACATTTTTTTTAATTCTAAACTGTGAATTAAAAAAAAAGATAAAACCATTTTTACTTAATAAAGGGTATGGCCTCCTCTACTGTTCATTACAGCCCTACATCGTCTCTCCATGCTCCTGATCAGGTTGTCGATCTCTTTTTGGGGTACAGCCTGCCACGCTGCATTCACGGCCCGAACCAGATCCCTACGAATTTCACGAGGCATACCCATTCTCAAAATTCTTCTTTGGACCGCGTCCCATACGTGCTCGATAGGGTTGAGGTCAGGAGATTGTGCCGGCCAGGGTAAGATGTTTAATTGATGAGCATTGATAAACTCACCACTCTGGCTGTATGAGGCCGTGCATTGTCATGCATGAGAATGAAGTTTCTCCAAAAATCATTGGCATATGGTAACACGACAGGCCCAAGAATTAAATCACGATATGTGATTCCTGTTAGAAACCTTTCAAGAAAAACGAGATCGGTTTTTCGGCCTAATTGGACTCCTCATAAAAACATAGCCAGTACAGGTTAAATTCGAACAATCGATGCTAGGTGCTTTTTATACATTTGACAAAAAATGCATTAACAAATTCTGCAAAAACACTTCTGCAAATATCCAAAATTTAGAAATAACTAGTGTGACTACTTCGTTTCAATCGAAGTAGAAAGAATCGGCCTACAAATATGTCGTTGTTTATTCAAAAAATTTATTTTTAACTTTAATAAAATGATATCCCTAGATTTTTCCGGTGTGTGTAGTTCACGCAGCACGAGAGAATAACTTTTCCGCCGGGACTGAGGTAGCTGGTATACTCAAGAGATCTCATGCCATCAAACTTAAAATGGGAAGATCAGAACCATGGGTTCTCCACCCTTGTAATATATCTGTGTCTTTGTTACACCGGGGAATTGAATAGTATTTTTGAAGCTCCTGCATCCATTCTCCTTAGGCAGGGAGGATTTACTGCGTACAAGGCATCAAAATCAATTACAAAAGCAACTACGACTTTTCAGGTCCAGGATTTTCACGTCCTTGTTGCACCACCGCTGTTTCTGTCGAACGTTGTCCCGCACAAATTGATGAAAATAGACTTTACAAATATCTTGAAATTTCTGAATCGAATTATCTTTTAATTCTTGGACCCATTTTGTCATATCAAACGTTTCTAACTGATGACGTGGATCGAGAATTAAAACTGCAGTATAAATCCAGTTCGTTTTACGATAATGCTTTAGTATTTTGTCTCTTGCAGCCTGAAAACCAACAATAAGCTGCTCTTCGACAGGGTTTTTCGATTTGGGGTTCGATTTGTTTTTCTGTCCCATTCAAAGATTTTGCCTTCAAGATTATCTATTAGTATATTATATTGATACATACAATCACCATAGGTAAGGTGACGTACTTTTCTCCTCCGAGTTTTTTCGAAAATATTTGGAACTTGATTAATAATTTGTGCACTTCTTCTAGCAGTAACCATTCTTCATCTCTAAGAGCCATATGGTTTTAAATCAACAACATTTTGACATAATACACCGAGCTAATGTCTGCCTTTAAGAGCTACTTGCAACATATCATCACTGGAATTCCAGCCTGTAGGTACATCCAACACAGGTGTCAGTTGCCGAGAATTACCAGTTGCTTCACACGCACTTCGAAACTTAAGTAAAAGTTGGTTTTTGAGTAAAGGTTTCTCAAGTGTTCACCTGCGAACTCTCGTACGAGACACGAGAAGTCTCGCACGAGACTCGAGACGAGACCAATAAAAATCTCGTCTCGTATTGTCCGAGTGTCGTCTCGAGTCTCGTCTCGAAAACGAGGCGAGACCATACGAGACTCTCAAAAACGAGACTCTCGTGGGAATCACTAACATGTTGGTAGCGCTCCCTATAAATAGGAGTCATATTGACATCAAAATCAAATTTCTCATTTCAAAAAACTCCCAGATGCCAATTTTCATTCAAATATTGACGTTACTTCAGAAACTACTTGGAAAAAGTCGAAATAAAAATGAAACTTCTACACCCTGTATCTCCGAAACTTAGCATTTTAGAACATACATTTATAGGAACTTTTTTACTTATTTTTATCTGCAAAATATGCTACCGAAGATTCCAGAATACCGTTCGGTATACCTTGTATACCAATATCTGCATTTCTAGTGACCCAGATATTACCAATATCTGCACTTACCGGCACAAATAACACTAAAATCTAACATTTTTTAAAGTAATTTGAAATATAACAAAAACTATTAGTTTTAATATACGGGGTGACTCTTAAATAAGTGCAAACATTTTCAGGGCTAATAAAGGGAGGGACGAAAAGTTGTCACTCTTCAAAACAGCTATGGCGGTGAAACAGGAAGTGACCGAAAACAATTGAAAACGTCAATCAATCCTAATTTATGTCATATATTAACATACCAAATCTCCTTTTTTTATCTGAAATAATAGAAAAGTTATATAAGGGTGAGCCACTTTTGAGACGCACCCGGTATAAGAATATTCTTTGTAAAAAAAGTCTTTTTTGTAAAAAAATAATCAGTTCAAGAGTACAGGTTTATATAAAATATATTTTCTCGCTTGGCTGAAAGTAGATATCAGAGATGCTAAAAGAATAGACCTTAAGGGAATAAAATAGCAAAAAAAAGCTTGGAAAACTGGGAAACGGTAGGGAGGAAAGCAACTCTATGGAGAAATCAAGGAGGAGGAAAGAATTTCATTAGAATGAAAAAGGCACCGCTGGAAAAATTTATGCCGTGGATGTGTCGAAAATATTGCACTGCTGCCGAGAGTATATATCAAACATGCATTTAGAGTAAACTTTTCAAAAACAGATTTAACCTTTAGAGCCAGTATGAAGGATGCTGCGGATAGGAGAATAAAAAATAAAATAAAGTGATTACCATAGACTTAAAATAAAATATAGACTGAGCATCTCATTCATAAATAGCTAGAACATGCGGTCAGACAATGTCTTGTTATTGTTGTGTTATTGTTTTAGGTTATAACGAGTGCGACACGAGCGATAGATAGGTTGTCTCTGTCGTAACGGTCGTTCCCTGACGACTCTGCCGAGAAACACAACACTGTCTTTCGTTTCTCAAGTACACCTGAACTCTCCGTATCATAGCCGGGTAATTTTTTTTTTTTCAATGAAGCTATAATTAAATTAAAAATATATCGTATTTAAACTTTTTATATTTTATTAAGATTTAGGACATGTTTTTTAAAATAAAAGTTTAGAAAAACGTCTTAGAGTCCAAAAAGGATAAAAATAATAAAATACACGTTATAGAAGAAATTTTATAATCGAAAATTAGCTGTAATTTTTGAAATTAATAATAAATTATTAATTTTAGTCAAACATTACAACCCCTAATATTAATCAAAACAGGATCTATTCCACAGATATAATAGAATCGGCGACAGGGGAGAAAAAAAATATGATTGTTGTAATTTTTTTCTGGTTAAGTGATGTCTTATGTAAATTAGAGAAAACATAAATTTGTTCCATTAAAGCAAGGAAGGTGATAAAGAAGTGGATAAAATGAAAACTACATTTATTTAACTCGGTACTGTCTTTATTATACCGGTGTGTGTCCCAAAAGTGGCTCATCTCATCATTTTTTATATTTTCAAATAAAAAAAACAAGATTTAAGTATGTTAGAGTATATGACATAAATTAGGATTGATTGACACATTCAATTGTTTTGGTCACTTCCTGTTTCACCGGAAATGACTATAACTTTTAATTTTTAAACGGCACCCTCGGTATATTTCTACTTTATTCGATGAAAATGACACTCTGAGTAGAATGACATATCATTTGTCAACTTTGACATTTTCGCATATGGTTTAATTGTAATTGTAACACGCGGTTCATAACGACAATTTGATCTCAATACCAAGTGTGTGGTATCAATATATTCATAAAAAATGCTTTTTTCCAAATATGCTAATGAGTCACCTTCTTGAAACCCATTTGAAAAATTGACATGTATGATTAAAAATACGATTTGTACATCTTATAACCGGCCTAGACAATACACGAAACCTATTAGACGATCAAAAACTATTTTTTCAAGGCTCCATGATTAAAACTTAGTGTTTTTAACAACACCATGGCACCCTGATTGAAATTTAAAATAGATTTGTTTTTAAGCGGCAATGTCAAAGTTGACATATGGATATGTCATTCTATTCAGAGTGTCATTTTTTATCGAATAAAGTAGCAATATAATTAGAGGGTGCCTTTAAAATCAAAAGATGTAATCATTTCGGTGAAAAAACAGGAAGAGACCAAAAACAATTGAATACGTCAATAAATCCTAATTTATGTTATATACCTACTAACATACAAATCTGTTTTTTTTTATCTGAAAAAATAAAAAAGTTATAGGGGGTGAGCCACTTTTGAGACGACCCGGTATAATAAAAAATATTGTTTCATAATGTAATATCATTTTAAAATTCTTGTATGTTATTTTAGATTCTGAAGATAATTTTAGAATAAACCGGAATATATTTTTAATAAAAACATTATTAATTATTAACACGGTTATGATTATGATTTTGTTACAATGTAAGTAAGTAAATAATGTAATGTTCGAGAACAAATTCAGATTTTCCATTTTACTAAAATATTATCTAAATAAGTGCCTTTCTACAACAACGCCACTGACTCCCAAAGGGTAAATTGAGAGTTGCCTACCGGTCAAAAGTCGTTTCAAGACTTAAATGGATTATTTAAGTCAAATTTCTTGCAAATTTGGCACTAGCGAACCATATTTTATAGTTCTTGAACAGAAAAAGTCAATAAAATAAACTTGAAAATGCGTTAATACAGCCGGGGAGATAGCGGCAACAAAGCTTTACCGCACACGTGCGACACGTACTACAAGGTAATAAATGAATGAATAGGGTCCCTCGCCTCTAATCGGTGTTGTCATATTGTAAAGAATTTATCCTTTTTAAACAGTATCCGACTTATAATTTAGTAGTATAAAGACTATTTAATACATCTATGGAATATTAAATTAATATTATTATTTTTTTTATGAATATATTGATACCACACACTTGGTATTTCGAGTCCAATTGTCGTTATGAACCGCGTGTTACAATTACAATTAAACCATAGGCGAAAATGTCAAAAGTTGACATATGATATGGCATTCTATTCAGATCGAGTGTCATTTTCTATCGAATAAAGTAGAAATATACCAAGGGCGCCGTTTAAAAATTAAAAGTTATATTCATTTCCGGTGAAACAGGAAGTGACCAAAAACAATTGAATGCGTCAATCAATCCTAATTTATGTCATGTACTAACATACTAAATCTTGTTTTTTTATTTGAAAATATAAAAAAAATTATGGGGATGAGCCACTTTTGGGACGCACCCGGTATAATAAAGACAGTACCGAGTTAAATAAATGTAGTTTTCATTTTATCCACTTCCTATCACCTTCCTTGCTTTAATGGAACAGATTTATGTTTTCTCTAATTTACATAAGACATCACTTAACCAGAAAAATAATTACAACAATCATATTTTTTTTTCTCTCCCTGTCGCCGATTCTATTATATCTGTGGAATAGATCCTGTTTTGATTAATATTAGTGGTTGTAAATGTTTGACTAAAATTAATAATTTATTATTAATTTCAAAAATTACGTAATTTCGATTATAAAATTTCTTCTATAACGTGTATTTTATTATTTTTATCCTTTTTGGACACTAAGACGTTTTTTCTAAACTTTTATTTAAAAAGCCTGTCCTAAATCTTAATAAAATATAAAAAAGTTTAAATACGATATATTTTTAATTTAATTATAGCTTCATTAAAATAAAAAAATTACCCGGCTATGATACGGAGAGTTCAGGTGTACTTGAGAAACGGAAGACAGTGTTGTGTTTCTCGGCAGAGTCGTCAGGGCGTCAGGGAAAGACCGTTACGACAGAGACAACCTATATATCGCTCGTGTCGCACTCGTTATAACCTAAAACAATAACACAACAATAACAAGACATTGTCTGACCGCATGTTCCAACTATTTATGAATGAGATGCTCAGTCTATATTTTATTTTAAGTCTATGGTTATAACTCAAGAAAGGGGGAAACCTTTGAATAAGAAGACTAAGGAAGGAGCTTTGAATAAGAAGACTAAGGAAGGAGCATATCAAAAATCTTAGGTACACCGCGATGGGCCTCAAATATGGCCGACTTAAATTCCGGTTTATCAGTGTCGTTCTAATTTTATTTAAAAAATGTAAAACTATGATGTAGGGTAGACGTGGGGTAGACTCAATAATTTGTTGTTTTATTTTACGTTGTGAATAAATGTTGGTAGTTATTAAAATTGTTATAAAATATATAATTCTAATAAAAATAGATAAGTTATAATAAGTATTTATTAACACAAACATCCGATACGCTACTGAAGCATGTAAGTCAAATTAACGTATCTAAATTCTTTGACATCTAATCTTTGACAAGCAATAAATAAAAGCTAAAAATGCAAGAAAAATATATAATTTAGTTAATTTAAGTGAATTTCATAAATGATCGGTTTACTACACGTATGTATATTATATAGTCACTTACTAGCGAAAAGTTGTTCCATTATTTCACTCAATTTTTGCCGAGAGCTACCGCACGCTACACAACCAACTATTTTAGAGTCTTTTCGATAAATCGCGATAGTGTCACTGTTAATTTAAGTTCTGCCACAATTTCCATCTAGATTTACTACCTTTATACAACTATCAGTAGTAGAATAAATAATAAATAACATAAAATAAGCTCCGTAAAGACTGACAAATCCACAAAATTTCAAATCAAATTCAAATGTGTCAAATGAATCGTCAAACAGACCTGTCAAGGATCCCCACCCTAGAGAGCTTTTATGGTGGCTTTTCCGCCCACCATGCATGAATACATGGATAGCGTTATGCTCCTTCCTTAGTCTTCTTATTCAAAGGGGGAAACACAATTATAGATCTTTAAGATCGCGGTGATTAACTCCCCTTCTAATGGTTCTACATTCTACCGCACGCTGAATAGATTTCGCATCCTGTATAGATTTTGCTTCTTAAAAAACATACTTTTTTCAGAATTCTCAATCTCTGAATTCATATATATCCTTTTTTCCAATTTTTTCACCGACAATGATGTGATTTAGTACACGTCACCAAAGAGGACAAATTATGATAAATCACCTCATATATGCTCTCCCCATTACCTAGGGACCCCCGCGACCCATGACATTAGCCATTGCGTCCTACGGCACCCGGCGTACAAACAGCACAGAGCGCGGTGTTTTTTCCCGAAAGGACGCCAACCTGTCGACGCTGCCGTCGTTTCAGTGCGTCGCGACGCCTCGTCACGTCAACCACACGCCACGAGACGATCGAAATCGAGACGGATACGCGAGTTTGGGATATCGTCAACAGGTTTGTTTTGTCTGGCTCGACATAGCAGTGGTTTTTTGAGTAGGTAAAATTATTATTCAATTATTAAATTGTTTTTCTTGTATTTGTTTTGTAAAAAGTGTGTTGTTTCATTCATTTTCATTCTAAGTTTATTTTTGAAAAATACACACAATACAGAGTGGTCCGAATTGTATTCTACTAACTTCGGCAGCATATTCTACCGATAAAAATAAGTAAAAAAGTTGCTATAAATGTATGTCCTAAAATGCTTAGTTTCGGAGATACAGGGTGTAGAAGTTTCATTTTTATTTCGATTTTTTCCAAATAATTTCTGAAGTAACGTCATATTTGGATGAAAATTGGTGTCTGGGAGTTTTTTGACATGAGAAATTTGGTTTTGATGTCAATATGACTCTTATTTGTAGATGGCGCCAGCTACATATTTTTAACTGTTTTGAAGAGTAATAACTTTTCGTCCGTACCTATATAAAACTGCTGAGTACGAAAATATACATTTACGACGTTTTTTACGTAAAAAAGATCTCTTGGTTAAAATCGGTACGAGTAATGGTTCTCGAGATATTTGGAATCGAAATGATCAATACCTGTCATCATTGACATAAATTAAACATGTTGACTAAATAGTTATTAGCCGGAAATCATAAATATGAAATTTTTTTGTGCCAAAAGTTCAACTGAAACTGTCTTATCATCATTTTTTCGAAGAAAAATTTATGAATTCCTTCCCAAATTTATCATGTCAGTCAAATAACTATCTACTCAAAATGAGAAAAAGTAAGGTACATTTTGTTGTTATATTTTTCAGCCGTAAATTTATTTATTAAGATCTGTAAGTTTTATTTTTTGTTTGGGCATTATTTAGATAATTTTTATTCATACAATTGGGTTGGAAAATAAAATACTAATTATAGTTTTAAATACTAGAGTTGTCTTGACCGTCCAATGCCAGATATCCGCAAGACCAAGACCATGCATCCAGGACTCTTATGATCTTGTTGTATTTTTTCACCTTTATAATATGATATAAGAATTACTTATTTGTTCAAAATTATTGTTTTAATTTATTAGGGTCGTCCATTGATTACGTGTGGCGTTTTTTCAGGATTTTTTGCCCTCTGGTAACTATATCGACAATATTAGTATATTTGAAAATTTGTTACATCTTTAAAAATAATCTAAAATGTCAATATTCCATGGGTATAGTGATAAATGAGGTCTAAATTAAAAGAGAATGCATTTTCTACGAAAACTTGAAGAGATAGGTAAAAAATGATATAATACAATTTCATAGACGATAAAATTATGCATCTGATTCTCTTAAAAAATACAGGGTGTTCCATTTAAATAAAACAAGTTATTGCCGTTTAAAGCTAGTAATTATTTAATACAAATTTTTGGACACTGTGTGTAAGGTAGTATAATATTTATTATTGCAACACAATATCTAATCAATAAGTAATCTTCAGTAATTATTTAGTATTAAAAAATTTGATACCCTTGGAGAAAATTTGATACCCTTGTAGCCTTAAATTTTTTACTGCAATTTCACAAAATTGCAAATATTTCAAAAACGGTGAGGTTTAAGTGTGATAAACCTTAATCAAATTTACCTTTATTTCAATCGTAGAATCTAAAAATAGAATAATATACAGGGTGTTCAATTTAAAAAAATACAACTATAATATTTTTTGCTTATGTGGGACACTCTGTATCATGTAAAATTATTTTTAAATTGTAGCTCTAATAGTCCTTCAACGAATCCAAAACTTACAGTTTATAAAAATCCAATCATTTAGCTACAACTCTATATATACTTAAATATATTTTCCAGATATTATTTGTTCTTGCAGAACGCTTTTTATGATAAAAAATAGAGGATAATAATAAATCATCCTGGCGTGCTGTAGTAAATTTTCACTGCAAACACATCATTATAAATTCTAGCGAATATAAACATACAAAGTTTAAAATATACCCTGTAAAGCCGGCTTTGTACCTAATTCTTTCATTTTCTGTTTGCTCCAATTTAAAATGCGTATTTTACTGCTTGCTTAACTGTTTTTATTAATTAAATTAAAATTAAAATTAATTAAATTTAACTTTCTAATGTAAAATATCACAAGTATATAGGGCGTCTCTCAGAGAACTACCATACGATAAAAAAAACGGCGTCAAAGACGGCTTGGGAATTGACAATCGATGTCCCTGTGACATCTTGGCAGATACCAAGTGAGAATGGTAACTGAAAGAAATAAATGATTACATGTCTGATTTTTAGATATGTTATTAAGATAGCAATTATAAAGTTATATTTAATCAATCAGACAGACTGTAATTACCAAACATCCTCTATACACAAAAGGTATCCAATAATGATCACCAGGATCATTAGCCATATACAACTCATTATTGTTAACAATAATGCAATTACAGGGATCTGTCTCAATATCCTCAAGGGATTCAACCTTACAAGGGCAATTCAAAATTTATAAAACTACATTGACATATACATTTCAAAATGAGTGACAAAAGGATAAAAAACTAAACACAAAAAAATAGACAACAAAAAACAAACAATAAGAAAAATAGATAATTATTTACATCACAGTATCACAGTTGGATTTGAGTATCACAGTTGGTGGTATATATTAATATCAGTTAAATTATCATAAATTTCACCACGTATATCGAATCTATTCCTTTCTACCGTATATTGAGGACATTCACATATAATGTGAATTACTGTCAACTCAACATCACAGACTATACACATTGGAGGTATTTCTCTGTTAAACAGATATGTATGAGTCACCGCAGTATGCCCAATACGAAGACGATGCTCTCTGGATTCATCCGCTCGTCCTAGTGCAAGACGTAAGGATGGGGTTGACGGATCCTGTTTTATTGCGCAAAGCTTTGAAGATGTACCTGCCTACTCATCCTGCCATTCCCTTTCTGTTCTTTTATGCAGTAGAACTTTAAGATCATATTTACTAATATAATGGAAATCGATGGTATCTCTTCTAGCAGCTTGCTGAGCAGCTTCATCTGCCATTGTGTTGCCAAGTATATTAGTGTGGCTTGGGACCGATACAAACATGAGTTTGTTTCCCTTTTCGCTGCATCGAATAAGCGTCTGAATTTTTTGTTTCAGAGGATCATGGACAAATATGTCATTAATTTTAGACACGATCTCTAAAGAGTCAGAACCAATTAAAATTCTAGATTGATTATATTCCTCGATGACATAAGATAAGGCTTTTCAGATCGCAAAATGTTCTGTGAAGAAAGCTGAGGCTTCATGTCTCAAAGTCCATTGGAAAGCTGACCCGTTGGTAATAATTGCACATCCAGCACCAGTTTGTGTTTTGGAGCCATCAGTATAAATAACAATTCTTTCGTTGTATTGGTCTAGTATTTTCTGGAACTTTTGTTGATATATTTCAGGCGATTACGTTTTAGTTTGTTCAGGTCTAATATTACTTCAGTTTCAGGTATTAGCCATGGAGGATTTTCGAAAGGGATTTCATTGATTATCATAAGCAGATGTTCTTCCAGATGACGGGATAGCATTGCTTCTCTCACTATATGGTTAGGATTTGTTAATGCGGAAGTGAGGTAGGATTGCGCTAGCTTCCTCCTTCTGTCTTTAAGGGGCTCTATTCCCGCTTCAGCACATAGGCTAGTTGCGGGGCTTGTGTAAAAAGCTCCAAGAGCTTGCCTTAAACATGCATTTTGTACGCGGTCCAGGAGCTGTAAGGTTGATTTACAAGCAGTAGAGTATACCACCGAGAACTATGCTCTTCCCAGTAAAGTATTTAAATATTTTAAAAATACTAATATAAGTCGGTTCAGAACGTTCTACGACGTTTTCCGACACCTAACCTCCACTCTTGTCTATTTAGCCAGATATCATCAGGTATTTCTCTATTTTCTAGTTCTTTATCCACACCCTCCCTCCAGCTTCGTCGCGGCCTTCCTCTTTTATTTCTGCCTCGAGGTGTCTACAGTAAAATTTGTTTTGGTATTCTGTGATCAGGCATTCGTTGCACATGACCAAACCATATGAGTTGTTTTGTTCTTATGTCGTCCACAATTGTGTGTTCTGCTCCCATAATCTCCCGTACTCTGTTGTTGGTTATTTGTTCTCTTTTCGTTTTTCCAGCAGATCTCCTCCAGTAATCCATTTCGGTCGCTGATAGCATGTTCTCTCTGTTCTGTTTTTCACGCCATACTTCGCTTCCGTAAGTTATTATGCTTTTCACTACCGTATTATATATGTTCTTCTTATTAGCTTTAGAGATTCCTTGATCCCGCAGTACACCATTCAACACAGATATTGCCCTCCTGCCTTGCATTATTCGATCTTTTATACCCTCATCGAGTTTTCCATCGTTAGTTATTTTTAATCCAAGATATTTTTTATATTTGTCACAGTTTTTTATCACGCTTCCATCCTCTAAGACTATGTTCTCTTGTGGCCCCCCTACAGTCATACATTCAGTTTTGGTGATATTTACCTCCAATTCCCATTTCTTATACTCCTCTATCAGCTTCCTTGCCATAGGTCGTCGTGATCTTGGACTAGGACTATCTGGTCGTCCGCAAAAAATAAGGTGTATAGGGTGTCCTCATTTATTAGGGGGATTCCCATTCCTCTACACTTAAGCATCATTTTTTAGTGCTTGTTGCAGGTATATTTTGAATAGTATAGGAGATAGGCAACATCCCTGCTTGAGGCCTTTTGTAATTTTTATGCTTTCTGACAATGAGTCTCGTATTTTTATTCTAGCTGTGGTGTTCTGGTATAAGTTCTTAACTGCTTTAAGTAGGTTGACATTTATATTAGTTATTTCCAACGTTTCCCACAATTTATTCAATGGTATGCTGTCATAAGCCTTTTGGAGGTCTATATATAGTAAGTGTACCTCTTGATCTTTTGCCGTTTTTTTCTCTAAGACCTGTGTTATGGTAAACAGATGATCCACAATAGACCTTCCCGCTCTAAAACCCGCCTGTTCTTCTATTTCTATCTCTTT